GGAGAATACCTACGGAAGTTGATTAATCAGCCTTCCCATGGATAATTTGGTATATTTGGAAAGCAAGGAACGAAAAGGTCTTTGAAAACATAGATACAGACCCATTAGAAGTATTACGATTAGCGGAAAAAGAGGCACAATTGTGGCAGTCCGCTCAAATTGAGCTCCATAATGAAAATCATGGTTCTGTGCACTTGGTAAATCGAATTCGAGTGAGGGTTGTTTCACTTGAGGCGGAGTATTCGGGATACCGTTGTTTTGTGGATGGATCATGGAAAGAAAGTGATAAGTTCTCCGGTACAGGCTGGTTTTGTACATCGTCAAATGGAGAGCCGCCAACCATGGGAGCTGCGAACCTCCGTAGAAGTCTATCTCCACTACATGCCGAAGTCGATGCCCTTCTCTGGGCGATGAAGAGTATGATTGGTGCAGATAATCAAGAGGTAGCGTTCTTTACAGACTGTTCAGACCTAGTGAAGATGGTGTCTTCTCCAACCGAATGGCCGGCGTTTTCAGTTTATTTGGAGGAATTTCAAAGCGACAAGGAGGAGTTTTCATCTTTTTCTTTATCTTTAATTTCTCGTAGGGCTAATGTTAAGGCGGATAATCTGGCCCGAAAATTTCGTACAGAACCACTTCATATCACTTATGTAAACAACATTCCTTAGGAATGGCTCTTTTGAGCTCTAATTAATTTCGGATGACAAAAAAAAAAAGACGGAAATAGTTTTCCAAACGATGAATGTAATGAAATAAAATAGTAAACGAAGATGTAAGGAATAGATTAAAGGCAGTGGGCGTTTTAGCGATATCTCATAGTATCATGGTTCTTGACAAATCAAGTGTTAAGATATTATATTTAAGTTTTCTATTTAGACTCGCAACTAAAAAAAAACAAATGAACAAACAACATATAATTCATAAAATTGAATGACCAAAGTCTCGACACTCCGTTACTCAGCTAACGTAGGCAACGACGAGTTTCGACCGGCAAGTAAAGAAGGTTTGGTCCTGTAACGAGTAAATTATTTACCATTAATATAAACCGCAAGTGAAGAGGAAAATGCAGCAATATTTAGGTATCGAAATTCACATAAACCAAAAAAAAACACAAAATAGACTTATAAAAAAATAGATTTCATTAGGGAGAATAAATTATCTACAAAGAATATCAAGAATAGAGAAATCATTAGGGAGTTCATATAAAAAAAAAGTAATGATGAAAGCATTAAGATTCTTTCTTGAATTTGAATTACTAATGTTTAACTATCATGCTCTCTCACATAATAATTAAATATGGGAGATATTAATTAAGAACTAAACTATTGTTTCTTTTAAGTAAATCTAAAAAGCTTTAAGAATTTAATTCAATAAACTCACAAAACACGATGACATTATTTTTTGATTGGCTTAAAAAGCTTTACCTTAATAATAATAGAACCCAGTACCGGCTTACATAGGAGGGCAGGCGGTGCGACGGTCAGGGGTCCAATCCCGTGTTCCAATAATTAAGAAATCTATTTTTTAAAATATTTTAATAAAAATATTAAAAAAAAATTAGATTACTGTTGCAAAAGTCAAGATCTTGCGTATTCGACATAAAATGGAGCCCATAAGTCATTCAATATTACAGTAACTATTGTCTACATTGGGCACCATCCCTAGTCACACTTTTAGTTATATCGTGTGCTACCATATTTGCCTAAGGAGAGGAAAGTTTAAAACTGAGGCTGCGAAAACGAGAGCAAAGACGAGTGATCTTGTCAAGGAATGTCTTATAATGATGCCAATATGACAGAGTATTCACATCATCAATAGCCGCACAACAATCTGAACTAACTTCGACATTCTCAATATGTAAGTCAATCAGGCTCTGAAAAGACCACAAAATGTATTGTACTTCTGCCACAATCCTATTAGTAATCGAGAGAAACGCATCCGTAGCGTGATAAACACATCCCTAATATTTAAAATTTATTTTATCAAAATATTTAATGTTATTTTAATGTTGGGTATTTTATATCATAATGTTATCATTTATATCAAAATTTTAAAATATATCAAAACATTTTTATGTTTGTTATTTTGATGTTTGGTATGTTACGATTAACTATTTGTAGTTCAAACCCAATATAAATGTATGTTATTAAAAAAAAAGAAAAAATAAATTTTCTGATATAATTTTATATAAAAACTGTAATGTACAAAAATTGGAATTTAATATATTAAATTTTTAAAAATAATAGACGAAAATAAATTGGGGTAACTGATTAAATAAGTTGTTAAAAAAAATTAATGCGGTGTAACAAAATTACAAAAACTTACCGGTAGTTAATAAATATTTTTAAATGTGTTTTTTAGGGAGATCAGAGATTCATAGTCGATAGGTGCTTTGCATTTTAGGAATCTTATTTCTCGTTCTACTAATCACATTTATTATATGATGGTTATTAGGACCGCATATATTCCTAAATTTGTATAAATCTTCTTTTTTTTGTCATGTGTATCAGTGTATAGAACTATATTTACGTTATCACTTCAAGAGAATATTAAGTATTAGCAAATATGACTATAGTTGATTCAAAATTAGAAGGCGTAGGTAGGCGAGTGTTTCTTATTACGGCTCTACATATATTACTAGATGTTAACCCGCGGTACACCGCGGGCCTAAATATTATTTGATTTTTTTTTAATAATTAATTTAAATATTTTATTTGACATATATAAAAAATTTTTTATTAATTTAAATGTATATATTGATATTTAGAGTTGTATATATCTATAAATGGTAGAATTAGTCAATTTCAATTTCATTTTAGTATAAATAGATTTATAAAAATTTCCAATACATCACTCACTTGTACATCACTCACCCGTCCTTCCTTCTCAATTTCAATTATTCTCATGTGTAAGTTTGAATGCACAGATGGGACGAAGGTTGGGCTTGAGGCTGGTCGGTAATAAAGCGAAAATTTCCAATTCCTGAATCCAAACACAAAAAATGAAAATATAACATTATATACTGAAAACGGAAACTGAGATTTTAAAAGAGAATAAGCCTAGCTTACCATCATCCTCTAAAGAGAAAAATAACAAAGCGTTTCACATGCAAACCCAGATTAATAATATAATTAGACTATTTTCACAATCTAATACATTATTGGTAATTAATATCTGAATAATGGAAATATAAATGCAGGTGAAGAACACGCGCAGTGGCGGTGGGCACAAGGAATCTGAGGCCGAGGAAGAAGCATATACCCCTACCCAATATCAATACGCCATGCCCTGGGAGGAACAATTTAAAAAAAAAACAATTAACATTCTACGAAAAAAAATCAATAAAATAAAAAGAGAGAAAGCACCACGTGGATAGCTACCTAGCGATACAGAAGGCTTTGTGTGTTTGATGTTGCGATTTCGGTAGAAGAATAAAAAGGCTTTGTGTGTTTGATGGTGGGATGAGAAGTGAAGCTAAAAAGTTTATATAGGCGTGGAAGATTAGGTTACGAAAGTAGTGGTGGCCAAGGTAAATATTCTTGCTTTAATTTTTTTAATCAAATCTTTCTAATCGGATTTTTTTAGGAATATGCTTTAATTCCGATTTTGTATAGTAGTAAATAATTTCCTTAATTCAGTCGGTATGAATATTTGTCAACGATTTCTAAGGACAATATTAAAAAAAAAAATCAAATAAAAACAATGAATGCAAATGGCGAATGAGTTCAATCTTTGATTTCCATTTCATTGTTTTCTGATAGCATAAATGTCTCAAATTTGTTATCGTAATCTTAGGGAATATTGCCGTAAATATCTGTATAGATATTTCATTGAAATATTTCAGCATTAAATGTTTTTTTTAAATGTATTTATAGCAAGTAAAATTATAGTTAAAGATTTATAGAAATATGGTAATTTGGTATTAATTAAATGCTCTCAAAAATCTCGTAGGTAAGATTTTAGAAACTAATGTTGGAGTTAATATGGAGATATTTTGGCAATATTGTTATATAAATCTATAAATCTTTAACCAAGATATTAACCAATATTGTTGGAGTTAATATGGACAAAATCGGTTTGGTAATATATTCAATTTAATTTTTGGAATGGTAAGCATTTAAGATAATTTCAAAAATATATGTATAATTAAAGAATTAATTTCGTTATGGTACTCGAATATATTAGAAATATTCGTATTGTTAGTTTATTTAATTCAAAAATTATAATTTGCAGATTTAAAGGAAGATCTTCTCGAGATTTTAGGAATATAATCGAGATTTTAGTAACAAATGTGATCACATTAAATTTTTGAAAGATTTGAAAGATTTTTGTCCAAATTGTTAGAAACAAATTAGGATAGATAATTTTTGGTTAGTATCTTTTTAATATTTTCAAATTTTTAGAATTAAACCCATTGACATTATATTGTTGAATTTATTTTTAAAAAAATATGTAATATTAAATAAAAAAATTAAATAACTAACTATTTTCATTTGATGGTGTAGACAAATTATTATTATTATTTATGTAATTTAATTACAAATAACAAATATTAATTTTTATAACAAAACAAATTATTTTCGTAAGAACAAATTTTTCCCAAATAAATATTTTACAAAATATTTATTTTAATCACATATTCTTTCTATATAGAAATAAATAGTTAAATAATTATGGTTAGAAGTAGTTAAGGTAAATAACAAATATGGTTAGTTTAGATATTATATATATATTTCCAATTTAGGTGTTAATTAAGAATTAATGTGGTTTTAAGACAATATTCCTAAAATTTCTTATCCAAGATCCGGATAGAGTTAAACCCGGGTAAAACCCGGATCCAAATGAATTAATGCAAAAAAACCCTGTAAAAATGTATATGTAGATATAAACGTTTTCATTTCATAATTTTTTTAAAATTCGTTTCCTCGTTTTCTTTTCTATGCAATTTAGGATATATGGAAGAAATTCAGAAATAAGTGTTTGTTTCAAATAATTTCTACGTAATGAAACATTCTATATTTAAAAAATACGTACACCCATACTTGTAGCATATACATGTGACTCCTGTCTAATTACATAAAACTCAAAACATAAAGGGACAAACGGATCACACCTTCTACTTACAAATAAAAAGTAAAAAAAGTATACAAAAATAACTCACCTTGACGAAACGTATACTCGACTACACGTGGGTATGGTTAGAGCTCTAATAATAGAGATCTAAAAAAAAACACTAAACCAAGAGTAACTAAGAAATAACGTTCATGAGGCTTTCGTCGAAGCAAAAGTCAGGCCAATAAAATGACGCAGCGTCACAACCTCCATAGCTTGAGCTGCTACTTGCATCGGCCGGATTGTTGTGTGGAAGAGAAGACGTGACATTTTTAGGGTTGTTGTCTATAAGAGAAGGGAGAACCCATGAAGATGGATTATCATCATGTTCATGCTCATGATCAGTTGGATGTTTGACCAAATTATCTATAAAGTGATCCTCACTATTCAAAGGTGTTTGGAGACTGAAAGGGACATGATCAAGAAGTGGGTCACCTTGTGATGGTAGCTCCCTAGGACTAGGACTATTGTTTAAATGGTATTTTGGTTGTTGGAGTGGTTGGGTGGTTGGATCAATGATAGACCCTAGTGGAAATAAATCTTGATTTTGATTGTTATCCTCGAGTTCAAGAACCGGATCAAAAGTCGGGTTTTGATCTTTGTTCCAAGAGACCATGGAGTTTAAGAGGTTCATGGCATGGTTCTGATCGATATCGAGAATACTACTCGGGCTATTGTTGTTGCTGTTGTTGTTGGTTAATGAAGCCGAAGAATTAAGCATACATTGGAGATATTGTAGCTTGGCTAGTTGGGCTGCTTCCGCTTGAATGGATGAAAATTGTGATGTTTGTTCGATCAGGTCTTTTAGATTTGCCAAGGCTATGAGCTGAGGTAAGCTTGCGAAGAGGTCGGTTCTTGGCTGATGAGTCACTGGATCGATCCCCATCTGGATCAATTTCTTCTTTAGATGTGTGTTCCAAAAGTTTTTGATCTCATTATCTGTACGACCTTGCAAATGCGTGGCAATAGCTGACCATCTATACATGATAAAACAAAATCGTTATTCGAATTTTCATTCAAAGTTTTATAACAAAAAAATATGAATATATGTTTAAATCACTTACTTATTCCCGAGAATGGAGTGGAGATGGAGGATTGTTTGCTCTTCTTCGGAGGAAAACTTGCCTCTTTTGATGTCTGGTCTCAAATAATTTGTCCACCTCAGTCTACAACTCTTTCCACACCTATTCAAATCTGAAAAGAAAAAGAAGAATTTTCAAAACCATGTATACAAGTTTATATAAAATGATCATGGATTGAGTTAAGAGACTAGAGAAAGGAAAAAACCTGCGAGCTTGGGGAGGGCTCTCCAGCTTCCATGACCATGTTTATGAATGTAATCAATAAGCTTTTGATCTTCTTCAGGAGTCCATGGTCCTTTCTTTAGACCATTCTCGTCGCAACAAGGCGACCTCCCCATCTCTCTCTGATTAGGTTGTCTTATCTCTCTTGTAAGACTACCAAAGCTTGAGGTTAGGACTTGGTATTTATATACAGTTTCGTGGAAGTTTGATGATAACTTTATATATAATAGAGATAATTCTTCGTCCCCAACACTTGGCTTTCTTTAATGTAATTTGTTTGACTAATGTTTTTTTTTTTTGGTATTTTATTAACTAATTTCTTAGACAAAATCTATGTTGCCGTTTCTTTTGAGACGGTAAAATCTACTTCTAGCTAGCGACGAAGCCAATACGTACCATGAACTGACGTATATCCCATGCATTTTTGAAGAAAACAAATCTTTTGTCTTTTTACAAAATTTCTGCTCAATTTCATAACAGCATTTAAGCATTTACATGGGGGCTTTTGATAACTCTAATTTAAGTCAAGATAGAAGTTTGACAACTGTCTAACTACACCACTGTCTCTGAGTGTTTTGAAATGAATAGTGCATCTCCTAGGATCGGATGTATGTGTGTTCTAGGTGACTTCACATGCAATAGTTAATAAAACTACGATATTCAAATTTCTGGTAGCGATATTCGTAAAAGAGCAAATGGATAATGTGACTTATTAGATCAAATAGAAGAATAAAATGTATTATTCTTTTATAACAAATCTACTGTCTAAGTTATGATTATTTTTCGGAGGCAACTTTGATACGAATTACAAAATGTTTGTGGCTGATCTACGACGAGTGTTTATATTTAAAATGTACCATAAATCAGTCTCAAATTGTACTGCCAAATTAAGTTTTTTTTTTTTTGAAACTAGTGTTTGTGTTTGGTTATAAATTATGTTTTAAACACAATTCGGAAATCAAATCGGACTATCTTTCCGCCGTATGTGGTCTAACTATGATCTATCAAAAGTATGTGCATTTTTGATTGCAAATTTTCATGGCTACTGCAATATTTTCACAAGTGTGTTGCTGAATATACGTACTTTAATTTAAAGCTTTCTAATGATAGATAAGTAAGTTTTTCATAAGTCAAATTAAAGGAAAAGATTTAGATATATCTAAAGTCTAATTCCATCGACACATTGTTTTTGAGCTATATATGTTCATTGACCACATATACGTATTCTTTTTATAGTTTATGTAGCTTCCATTATATCGTTGTGGTTTTTTAATATAGATAGAGAATAGAATTTATATACCTGGTCAGAAGAAAATTGTTCAAACATTCTAAATTAAGGGAAAAATGTTACTGAGATTTATGTGGTCAATGGGGGACAATATCCGTGAAGTGTCTCCCTTGTGGTAATGCGTTGTTTCTGGGGGTTTGGTAAATCAAATCTATATAAAATAATCTTCTTCCTAGATGGATTAGATAAGCTATACTATTTATTTATGGTTTGCAGATCATTTAAGCATTTATATCAAACACATTGTTCAAGATGTTGTGGACGAGTTTATACTCGCTGCACCATCGTATACATGCCAATTTAATGACGGCAAAAGTATATACTCCTTCTGTTTTACAAAGAGTGTCATTCTAAAATTTATTTTTGTTTTACAATAAATGTCATTCTATATTTTCAATATGACTTTTACACAAAATTTCCAGATTTACCCTTAACCTAAAGTTAATTTTCATTGAATTTAAATCATTAATCACTTATTAAATAGGGGTATACATGTATAATTTAAGGTTTTCTTAATTTGTTGAAATGTGTCAGAATGACACTCTTTGTGACAGTCGTCCATAATAATAGTGTGAATGGAGTATATTTCAAATATCTCAATATAATTTTCAGCAGAATTACGAAAGGTAATCAATTCACCAAAAAAACAATTTAGCATTAAAAGCGACGAACACATGTGTTTAAAAGTTGCAAGATTCAAGGTACATTTATAATTACATTCAACTCATACTTTTCTTTGTTTGGTATGAACCATTATTTCAGGAACTAAATCTACATATTTTTCATGGACGTTTGTTCTTTGTTTGCTTTTTTTTTTTTAAGAGTTTAAAAATCTCGAAGTATACTTTTTTTTTATCTATTACCAAATTGACAAATAAAATTGGGTATTTTCGGAATATTTTAACGAGTTGGTAATGGGGAGACCAAAGTGAACTTATTGTGAAATTTTGTAATAAACAAAAAAGTCCAATAATAATGGTAAGTTTGGTCAACAAAGATGTGAAAGCCAAAAACAAAGGATTACGTGGTTGGACTAAAAGAACCTTGTCCATGCACGCAAGGCGACGATCATCGTTTTGTCATCTAATGCATGGCTTCTTCTTACTCCATCATTTCTACGTACCAACAATGTATATATACCACCTGACTTTTTTATTTGGTACACAAAATGAATATCTCCATTCACACTGTTATTGTTTTCAATTATTGAAAATGGATATCTCAGGTTTTTTCCTTAGTGGCAACTTTTTAATTTTTATGATTGTAACAAAAAAACATAGATTTTCGGGGATGGTTCATATGTTAAGTTCTATGGACTTCCAACTCAAAACCAATTGGCTATGAGTGGAGTGGCCCATATCCCTTATATATTACTTATGATCCCTTCCAACTTCCGATGTGGGACATTATGTCCTAATATCATAGACCATCATAGTATACTTACATTTTTTTTTTTTTTAATAACCGCGGGTCTCCCAAAGGCTTCCTAGGCCCAAGGACTAATCCCACGAGGCTGACAATTCCCCTATGTAAACCTGCCAGTGGCCGTGCCTCGAACCCTAGTGGCGGAAGTCACAGCTGTGACCCCTTTACCACTAGGCCACAAGGCCCGGTTCTTACATATGTTTTTACTACATACAAATTTTAGTTAATTGAATTTACAGTAGTTATTTATGGTTTAAAAATTTACGAAAGTTCAAAGAAAAGTCACACAAATATGGATGTTATATATGTTTCTTCTAAAACCGATTATACATATAGGATGGTCGATCAACAAAAAGCCAAGAATTATTTGAAGTCAGACAATACAGGCCACACGTACATGATTTAATTCCCGTATTAAGTAGATATTATGTGTGTTTGTGTTCCACTAAATTGTTATATATGCTGATATGGTTTTTAATTAATTTATGATGTTTTTATAAAATGCATTGAAATAAATAAAAGGATCGAAAAACTGAACCTTGAGGTGTTTAGTTGGTGCAGCAAACTCTCCAAACCTCCAATGCTCCCATCTATTACATACTCTTTAATTTCTCAAGTATAATTTAGTTAATTTGTTTACTTCTATCGTATGTCACAAAATTTTGAATAAACAATTTTTTTTATAAAACGAAAAATAATTTTGAATTTTGAATTGTAGTTTCATTTATTCCTTAGTTAACTGCAATAACGAAATGTGTTTTTCCAAAGATAACACATCAAACCCGATTTCTATTTTATGAAGAAAAACAAAACCTAGAAGTATATTATCAGCCATTTTTTGACATGCATGTACAAAACTTAAGGAATTTGAAAATATGTGTTTGCTAAATAAGAAATAAAATTTTCTTAACGTGACAGAATTTACCAAATAAAATTCAGACGATTTGACATAACAAAATTCTCTTTGTCATTTTGTTATTCATGTATTGATTAAGAAAAAGTAAGATATAATGTATTAATCCTCACGCGGTTGCTTGAGAAGTTTATTCTTCAAACATTTGTCCCGACGTTTGTTGTTCTATACTAAGTTTTCTGAATTCGTGTTTCAAATTTTAAGCATAATATTATATCCTTACATATAGATTTATTATGTGGAAAAAAAGTGTTAAAAGTAGAAAACTCGGTTATATCGTCTTCTACAAGTCATAGATTGTTTCAAGTTTCGTTAAAATTATTCTTTACATTGAATGAGATCAGATCATGCACTTTTTTTCTTTTACTTTTTTGTCCTAATAAGATATTAAATTCGTATAATTTATTAGTTATACAATCCTGTCCTCATACGTATGAATACAACTTAATTAGAAGACGGTCAATGATTAAACAAAGGAACAAAGAAGTCAGATATACACACCTTTAATACTAACTAAGTAGAGCAATTGCATAATTATGGATCATAAAGGAAATATGTAGTTTTAAATCAAATGCAAAAAAAAATTAAGAAAGAAAAATGAAATGGTTGATGGATAAATCGTACTTTTCAAGGGTCAGCTAAACAACTGAATTGCTTGTACTGTTAAGTCTTCAACTAAAACATAATGTCTTTAAAAAATGTTAAATGTGACTTTATATAATAATTAAAAAACGAGAAAGACTTTGGGAGGACAAGAAACTGGCGAGAGGTTCCGCGACGACATTGTATTTACTGTCTTCACCAAAGTCTTACTCAAAAGATCTTCACCTTTTTGGTCCTTATAGAAATCTCATCTTCTTTGACTTACAATTTTTTAGATGCACAGAACGATATATTAAAATTTTATATGTTAATTGCCAACATGTCGACGTTCATTAAAATTATAATTATATATATCTTTTTTTATTAGTATATTATTGAAAATGTTATTCATTAATTTTTTACTTCTTATATTAATATAGATATTCATATATACTTAATCTATCAGAAATTATGTTCAAATCTCCTATTTGTTTTAAAATAATTTACTTTTAATATAATTTTAGGTGATTTGGATTATCATCTAATTGGGCGTACATTGAAAGATATTAAAACATACATAACTAGAGCAACTCCAATCACAACCGATTTAAGCCGCCTGAGTAATCTTGGGATGAGTTACTCCGACAAAAAAAACTTAAACGCACCAGCTTTTCTACTTGTCTCTATTACCAAACTAGAACAATTTGGTTCAGTCTATTTTGCAAGGACCAAATAACACACTTAGACGGTCCCGACTGATACCTTTCAGCAGTTATGGTTTCCAATATACATGTGATTATTGTATAGAATTAATTTTGAAACCGAAATAGCGTATTTAGGTATTTTTCCTAAATCCAATTACCGCTAAACCACTAGAAAGTTGGGCAATGTTTTAATTTTTGTTAAGTTAGTTTAATCAATTATTTAAGAAGTTATATTTTTGCCATTATTTATTTAAAATTAAGAATCATACTTTTTGGTTTTTTTAAAGTACCATAACTATATTTTTTAATATACCAAAATATTAGGCAAGCACTTAGAAAAATTATTAGAAAGTTGCCTACAAATCTTCCTAAATCAGTTGTAAAAAAAGGCTAATGAAGATTTTACTTCTCTATGTAAAAATATATTATAAACATTCATTTTTGCGGTATTTTGGAATATTCATCTTATTTTAATATGTCTATTCATTTATATGTTAAAATTTTAATTCAAAAATATAATATTGAATATAAAAAAATGTAGGTCTCTAAAAACTAATTTCATTTCACACATAGCAATATAGCATGGACAGATTACCTTGTAGATATATTCCATTTTTTATTTCAGAAACTTTAAATAAATTTGATTACAAATAACATCATTAAAGGCTTTAGAACATTTCCATCATGGATCTCTCATTGAGAAACTCTCTGATATAAAAATAAAAAGTTTCAACCGGGCCTTGTGGCCTAGTGGTAAAGGGGTCACAGCTGTGACTTCCGCCACCAGGGTTCGAGGCACGGCCACTGGCAGGTTTACATAGGGGAATTGCCAGCCTCGTGGGATTAGTCTTTGGGCCTAGGAAGCTTTTGGGAGACCCGCGGTTATTCAAAAAAAAAAAAAAAAAAAAAAAAAAGTTTCAATTGTATCTTGTAACTAAAACTTAGTTATGTAATTAAAATTTATTGAAATACTTTCACTCCTATGTTCTCGTATCTGTATGCAATTTTCACGTTTTTTTTTCTTTCACATGTTGCAATTCTTCATTATAGATAATCCATAAATTCAAATACCAAGTAATCATAATCACAAAAGCAATTGTATTATTTAAGGGAGATCGAGGTCATAGAAGCCGATTCCAATTGCTTGCTTCACAAATGATCTTTAGTATGCATTTAAGAAAATATCTGATTATTCCTTCTTATTTTTTGCCAATAAAAAAATCTGATTATTCAACAATCAAAATTGCCTGCGTCGTTTAGTTATTGCTGTTTTCAATTTGTCTGTTATTATCTTTGGCCTATTATATTTGGAAGTAAACACAGCTACTTTGTTTAAAATCATAAAATTGAAGGTAGCTTATGAACCAAGATTGTCCCTTATAGTTACTCTAATTCAGGAATTAAAACAATTGTTAGACTTATGTTCATCTCGTGAGCTTTAAGTCCCAAATCGCTAACCTAACCACAGACTCACAACATTCCATGGTATCACAAGAAACCCTTTGTTTACTTTAATTTTACCTTTATGGATCAGCGACATCATCATATACATATATGTAACCTTTTTCACTGAAACCATGTCAATAGTTTTATCTTTTTCTTTTTTACTTCTGTGGAAAATTTTACTTCGAGTTAGTTCTTCCACTAGATTGTAAATCTTCGGCTAATAATAAACAGACTAGATAAAAACCCGCACTATGTGCGGAACAAAACGATTATTAAATATATTTTAATGTATTGATGATATTGAAGGCGTTCGATTTTTATATTATTCGACAAATGGTAGTATATTAATGATTATCAAGATTAGTGAAATTTTCATTTATGTATTAATGTTTATGTTTATCATGTTTTATAATATATATCTTGTTATATTAATAGATACATAAAATATTTGGTACCCCATTTTGTATTTTTTAATTACATACTATTTTAATTGTATTTTCGTTATAATTAATTGGGTAAAATAAAAAGCATAAATTAATTAGAAAAAATAAACAGAACTAAAACTAATGGCAAAATCTGTAAATATTGAGTCTTTAATTAAATGGATTGAGAAGCTTTGTGAGAACGACACATCATCATGCCATTTTCGTTAATCATCATGGCATCGTGGTAGGTTAAGAAACACCGGTTAGTATTCTTCTTTAGTACTTTTGAAGATTAAAACTAGGTCTGGGATAAATAAAAACCGAATCGAATTGTCCGAACCAAACAGAGATTTGAGAAAATTGGTTTGGGTTAGGTTATTTGATATAAACCGATCGGTATTAAATTTTGAGATTCGGTTATCGGTTCGGTTTGGGTCGGCAGTTTATTATTTCCCAATCTGAAACCCAGAGAAACGATTAAACCAACCCATTTTGATCCGATTAACCCGTTGACATAGGCCTATTTAAAACAGGCAAAAAACAAAAGAAACAAATAAACGCTGATTTTCCCACCTCCAACAATTTTGTTTACCACTGATTATTCCTTAATCACTATAGTGAGGTTTTTTACTTCGCCTAAACTTATTATCTTCACTATTATTACAAAACCAATTAAATTACTATGAAGGTGGAAAAAACGAGTCTTGCATGTAAGCTTAGCTATCCATTTCCGATGGTGCAGTTTTCACGTACGAGAAAATATATTTTGATGTAGATATATTACTAGATGAATTTCACAGAATAATTAAGTCATATTAAATTTACTTTAAATAAATAAAACCAGAAAATATAAAATATTGATGAATAAAAACAGAAATTAAGCAATATATAACATCTTATCTAAGGCCCTTGCCTTTACAAATTATAAATCCAACCAACAATATCACAAAAAAAAAAAACATACCAAAAGGCAACAACATAAATATTGTTTATCTAAGGCCCTTGCCTTAGAAATTTATTGTAATAAGTTAAAACCAACGAAAAACATGAAAAAGTACGACTCTCCTTAGAGAATCAAACGGAGAATACTCTTCTCACTTATTTCAAGATTTTTAAGAAAAAAAAACACCAAAGAGTTTAGTTTTGGGAACTGGTAACTTAATCAAACTCTCACTGACCATCATTCACAATTAAGCATTGCTTTGATCCTTTGAACGGTGGAGCTAATCAAGGTATTGACTGTGGTGGCAGATTCTTCAAGGTTGAGATGTGTAGAGTAACTCGGACCGGAGACAAGGATCTGAAAAGCCACAGTGAGGAGTGTCATGCGGCCACCATTGAGCTCACCTACGGAAGGACGGCTGTCACGGGAGATGATGAAACCGGAAGGGAGAATTGGAATGGTGGAAGGATCGACTTGGCCAGAAATGGCGGAGTATGCTGTTTTTAGATCCATTGGAGCGTATACCACCATACCTCCTAATGCATCTATGAAGCCATCTTGTAGTATCATCAACTCACTATTATCCCCTTCACTTGACGGCTATGTAATGTATAACAATAATCATAGTTAATGCAATGCCATTATGCCAAGGAAATTAAATTTGTAATAGATTTTGATGGAAAATGTAGATGTGAATTAGTAGGAGTTATATATATATATTTACCTGGAGAAAAGTCACGTTGTTCTTTTGGTCAGTTCCGGTGACAAAACGAGCAGCCTCATTCACTGGATTTCCATGGCAGAGAACGTCCCACTTTTTTACATACAAACATTATATTTCTTGTTAATTACCCAAAACAAAAAATTAATGTGAAAATGAATGACATTTTTTTAAAAAATAAGCTGATTAAATATGGACTTGTACAGTTAACTAAACCATCTATTCTTTACCTGGTGACGAACCTCCAGATTTCTAAGGAAATCGTAGACTTGGAGAGGAGGAAGAGGGAGAGATAAAGATGAACCGGCGCAGACAATGAGACCAGTTGGTTGACCGGCCTCTGTGTTTTTCCGCACCGAAATCCTAACTCCACTATTGTTGGCTTCACACTGTTGCGAGAAATCGAGTTTGTCAGACATTTTCATTATCCATGCAAAGTTCTTCAACATTCTTTCTCCCAAATTCATGACGCTCCTTCTGCCTTCTATTGTTTTCACAACTACAAGAAATGAAAACATTTTAAAAGTTTACAAGTAGTTAAAAACCTTGAAATACCAAAATTTTTGAAACTAGCACTTTAAAATGCTAATCCATTTTAAGACTATGCACTAAGTTATATTAAAAAAATGCTGATCCAATTGTGTTTTAGCCATATAAGTAAAGGTGTAAGTACCTCCGGCGTAGTCGGTCGGAGGGAAGTTAGTCATGGAGTAGAGAGACAGCCTCTCACACATCCTCTCAAGAGTAACGGTCCAACGTCGAGCTCCGTAGCCAAAACCGCCGTATAAGAGATCTCTATAAAGCTGATGTGGATGCACTTTATCAGTCACTTCCACATGCTCTATCCACGTTACCTGCCCATTTTCTTTGTTATTTTTGAAGTTTTCTTTTTTCAATCACACGTATTCTTTTAAATGTCATTGTAGAAAAAGCGAGAGGAAAATATGTGAAAAGGAAATTGAAAAAAAAAAATAGTTTAAAATTATGACATAAATGTCTTATGTGTGTGTATGTAAACTATTGAAAATATATCAAAAAGAGAGAGAAAGAGAGACCTTAGAGCGACCATGGGGCAAGGCTTGGATTAGAACACCGGAGGGACGTTTGATGCAAATCGGAGCCGTAGATTCAAACTCAACGTTTGGGAGATGACAGGAAACGTCAGCTATCAACCAGAGACCTTCTTCCATTTGTCGGCAACTTCTTAGGATTATAAACTCTCTAGGTGGCACCAATGGTGACAGTATGTGCAGTTGCTCATATATCTATTTTATAATATACCATCCAGTTTAATATTTATCTAAGTCTAACAGTTAAAAATTAAAATATTATACCATGTTAGGATTCATACCACTCTTGAGAAAGTTCTTCTTGGATATTGGTCCATGGAATCCAACACGTGAATCGTTTTAGCTTCGTTCACAATTGTTGGAAAAAGCCTCGCCCATTTCTCCTGCAATATATTTATTGTGTTAGAAATGTTATTGTGAGAATTATTATTACATATATACTATGCATAGCCGAAATGCTGCTTTTTTATATATGGAGATTATACGGTAAATACTATTTTATAGAAAAATGTAAACCAAAAATGTTAATATAATTGGATATATGCATATATAATCACAAATGTTATAGTTAATAATAAGTCATAACAAAAATATTTTTAATAGATACTAGAAAAATGGATATACATAAATATTCAAAACTTTTCAAGTCTCAAATAATTAATAGACATTGAAAGAATAGTTTTACTCAAAACGGCGTCTTTAATTTAAAAAATCAAATTTAAACGACGTCGTTTTGTTTACAAATCTTTGAAAAAAAAATAGACACTGTATATGTGTCATATTATATGATACATATACAACAATTTTTTCATTTATATATTATATAGCATAAAAAATACGAAAACAGCATTTTTGATATAAAATGTTTCAAGAAATTTGATAATTCGTTTGATGATGTTAGCTTAGACATAAAATCGCATACGTACGTACCGTATTTAAGAACATGTCGACCAAGTTTCTTGCATCCATTTGAACCACCACGTCTTCCTTAGAAGACTCATGATGACATGGACGAGCAATTGGGCTCTTAAGATGGCTATTCTTAGTAAAATATCTCTTATAGTTCCCTGGATCAATGATGGTTCTACCATCAATAGTTGACTTAATCCACATTGATTGTTCCATTTGAATGAGACTCATAACCTCTGCCACCGCTTTTGCCGCTTGTTCATACATCCCCATCTTCTCCAGTTGAGATAGCTGTTGGAAATGCTGCAGTAGTACCGGTTTTCGCGGCTTAGGCAGTGGGGTAATGTTGATGAGTTCACGAGTACATGGTCTTCTTATTAAGCTTGATTGTTCGGGAAGATGGTTAGAAGAGGTTCCATATGAAGTAGGACGACCTTTGGAGGTCGATCCATAGGTTGATGTACCATGGAGGTAGGGTAAGGCATCGACGCTAGGTATTGAGTGACCATGCTTGTTTAGGTAGCTTGAAAGTCTTTCATACTAATTTCATATTTTGATCAACAAAAATATTAGCGATTTTATTAATTCCAATGTAGAGACAATTTTTGGTGAAAACAATACTCATATAGTGCTAAAAAAATCACTCTCCAACTAGAGTGCCACCTCATCAATTTTGTTTTTAATTGTAAGAGAATATAATTAATATTAAAATTCATTGCAATATTTAGTTTTCTAAAAAAAATTGCCAACTGGATTTGATTAGATGAATACTAAGTATGACTAAATTTATTATTTATATAAAGAAATAATCTTACCTATATATATATATATATTTGATGTAATACTCCATATAGGGTATCACCTTAAGAAATTTTCTATTTTTTAATATTTGATTCTTAATTAAGTAATCCACTACAAATGATTTAATTACTTAAATAACTTTCTTGGAGTGCCAATAAAGACAAAATTGTTTGCCTTAAAATGTTTAAGACCCAAAATATTTTAATTTACTGTTCACAAACTTATGCTTTTAAATCTAATTAATCTCATAAGCACTTTTAAATTATATAAGTTATGAGAAATAAAAAATATTTTTATATTTAATTTGATATCATATAATCATGTTTAAAAATATTTATGCGCGCGAAAATGAATGAGTAGTTTATGAAACCAAAAAGGTAATAAATCATACTATCTTTCAAATAAGCGCATAATCACCAATTTTGAATTATGTTAACTAGCTAATTCGACGATTTATTTCAAAATATTACCAGTGGACAAAGTAAGTTTATTAGTGTTAGAAAATTAGAGATTCATTTAGTGACATATGAACTCCTAAAAAATAATATTAATCAAAAAAGAAAAAAAAAACAGTTTTTTGGATAAGTATTTGCATAAACACATACCTCTCTTTTGAGAATGGCATTCTTTGTACGAAGTTTTTGGAGATTGCATAATTGTTCTTCTTTCCCATGAGGGCCACCACAAGGAGGGCAAAGCACAGTCTCCAGTGCCTCTTCCATTGCTTCATTCTCACATCTAATTTTCATGTTCTCTGCTCTAAGTGCTATGTTCTCTGCTTTTTCATTATGAATCTATATAAAATAAATTATTCTTAGTTTTTTTGGAGCTGAAATTTAGACAAAACATAGTTTAATTTTTCTATATGCAATTATCGTGTGGATTCTACGATGGTATACAACAACAACAACAAAAAAAATAATGATGATGAACAATAACAATGAAAAGTCAATCACTATTATTTGGTTTAATTTGATTAAATCGATTTGTATTATAATATATAAACTAAAATATAGTATTAAAAATAGATAAGACAAAAACAATTACCTTGACTTGGGTTCTTTTGTTTTGAAACCAAAATTTGATTTGTTTTCGTTTCAGATTCAGTTCTTTACCCAGTTGACATCGCTGCGAATCGTCTGGATGCGGACATTCATGAAAATACCTTACATCAATAAAAAAACATTCACTATGAATTAAGAAGCCAAAATAAAAGAAATTATTATAAATTAATTAAATTAAATTAAGATCTTACGCTTCGAGCCTTTGAATTTGTTGACTAGAGTGATGGCGGTGATTGTTGGCGTCCATACAAGTTCCCTCTTCATCGCTTGAACTGTCATCATGGCTAGAATCCATTTTTTTAAACCCACTAAAAACTAGAATACAAAAGATATAAAAAAAAACTTAAAAGATATGAACAACTTAAAAGCTGTTTATATAGACAACTAATAGAACATTATATTAGGAAAATAATGTATAAAAGATTTTTTTTTGGGTCATCAGTTTAAATATTTATTTTATTGCCTTCAGTTTTAATTAGTAATGCAACTATTAGGAGAATCCTCAAAATAAAACAAAACCATTTATGGAACAAATCTCATTATAGATTTTCAACCTTTTGGGGACGTTACATTAAAAGGTAATTTATAGATAATATTTTTCTATATATTTCTGTAAAAAGGAGAATTGTCTTCTATAATATTTTAAATTTACACCATCGATGTTTATGAAAAGGTATTGTATAACATAGATAGTTGTAAATGTAAAATATGATAGAAAATAATTTTTAAATGAAAGTATAGCAACAAATAAGTAAAGATACTACATTTCAAACATTTAATGATTCGGTAGAATAATGTATTTTCTTAATTACTTGATAAGTCATTTATACAGATTAATTTGGGTGTTACTTCCTCAGTATTGATTCCTCAAAAATTAAAAGCCACACAATATTTTTGTAAAATAGTCTACATATGTTACAAATCAAAATTTATTTTTAATTTAAAAATATATAATAAGAATCGATTTTTCTTCTTCTCATCTTTGTTTGATTCTCTCATCGGTTTTCTTCTTCTCATATTTGTTTGATTCTCTGATCAATTTTTTAAAATCATCTCATCATTTATATTTAAATAGTCTTTTCTGCATATAATTCGATTTTATCAAAAAAAAAATACTTAATTAAGTATTTGGATGTTAAAGACGTATCCAAAATAATTGAGAAGGTATTTAAGTGATCACATTACCCGTGTCTAGTCGACCTAAATGACTTTTCAAAAAAGATGATGATCTGTTGTTCTTACAAACTCTCTCGCAAGATATACAATTAACCAAATTAATATTTTTTGTTACATACCGGGTATGAAATTTCTAAATTTAACCTCACACAAATATCTAAATACAAAATAAATAATTTAGCAGAGAAATAAACAATCAAATATTCTTTTTGTAAACAAAACAAGTAATCCTTTTAAATTATTTGTTAATAAAAATTTTCAAATTCTAAGGCATTATTATTTGAATAAACTGGTTCATAATTTTTAGAAAATAAAATTTGTATTTATTATGACTATTTAATTTTCATGATGAAAGTATGTCATTATTAGTATTTGGGCCTAGAAAACTTTTAAGATCACCTGAGTAAAAAAAAATATATGTCACTAGTAAAAAAATATATAGATTGACAACAAAAACTTTTCACATATTATATCTTGATACGAATGGAAACATATCATTTTCACGTATGGAATAAATAATAATCACATCGTTGGGGACATTTTGGAAAAAAAAAAATACTTTAAAAAGAGCATTTTAAAATTTCCCCAAATTTATCTACTAATATGTTTAACTAAATTGGGGTATTATCTATTTGGATGTGATTTCCTTCCTACAAATAAGAATGTGAAACAAATTTCTAAAAAGGCGAGCTACTGAGATTTGTAGCCTTACAGAATGGTCACTATACGGCTGCCATCAACATATGGTCCGCATAATAGAACCTTCACAAGGTTTTAGGACGAGGCCATGTCTCAAGCATTTTCGGTATGCGGATGCTCGATTAGTTTTTAATTTATTTTACTTATTTTACCTTCTATATATATAGTAAGTAAACATATAGACTAGATGATTGATTGCTAGGATTAAGAATGATATCTTATCTTCATTGGTCTCGATTTCGATTATAGGAGAAATCGTGAAAATGATATCGCATCTTGAACTATGTAATAATTTCTTTATTTATAGATCCATCTGAAACAGTAAAACAAACACGAAATCAAACTAATTTAAAGATTGGAAACTAATAACCTATGAAATGGAAAGGCTTTGTAAATCATTTTACCTTTGCTTATGTGAAATTACCAAGCTATGATGTGAGTCTGAGTGTGATATTGTGTTTTATAAGATAATTGACGATATGTGCAAACGAAATTTAATTCTGTAAAAAAGAAGTAGGAAAAGGATCAATGTAATTGATTTATCATAAAATAGAATAACAAACATGAGAGAACAACAAAAGTGAATCAAAGTCTATTAATGACTACATGCATGAATCCTAATCGAAGATTTATCTTTTTGAAACATCAAGTTTCAAAAACTTCATAACGGAACTCCACAATAGACTTTTTTTCTTTCGAGAAATCGTGGTAGTCTGCTCAACCAGGATCATATAACAGTCGATAAAAAATTCAATGTCTATCACATACAACATAAAAGGAATTAAGGTATATGAATCATAATTGAGAATAAGAATTAAAGGGTTGAGAACTATTTACTTTTATTAATCGAAGATGTCATCAATTAATTCATTATTTAAGAGTGAATCCAGAACAATTACCGTTTTTATAGCTACCAATCAAATGTAGTAGATTGAAGCGAGTTGTTAAGATGACTAAACATGAAAATATATGTAGGCAATTAGATTTGATTTTATCATTATTAGGTTTGAATCTCACACGTGAAGCAATATAAAAATTGTGATTTTTAGTATTTTGTTAGGTGTTGACAAACACATAAAAATATCATGTGGTGATCAACAAGACTACTAGTAAACAAGTCTATCAACCTTTCATGTAAAAGTGCACTAGTCAAATAACGAGGATGAGATCTGCATTGAAAATCTAAAATGACAACTATTATGTGACAAAATTTAAATGCTAAAACGACAATTAAATTTCATATATATTTTATATATATAAAATTTAACTACACTTTTTGGTCAGTTTTATATATTTTATTTACATTAGTACCAATATGTAAAAAGAAAAATTTGTCTTTATGCTTGTGAAAGTTAAAAGTAAGTTCTAATCCGTTTGATGATTATGTCATTTATTCCACAAATTGTTTTTCATTTTCGGGTGCTCTACGATCAAAACCATAAATTAAAGAAAAATAAAACTAAAAAAACACAAAAATTTGGATCCAAAAATACGGTTGGGACATCACCACATTTATGGCGGCATTCAATTGAATTGATTACCACGCATTTTTCCAAAAAAAATCCCCTATATAAAAATCCATTTAATATTAGCTTAACACATAAATGAAATCTTTCTCCTACATAATCTGTGAATCTTCTTTCCATGTTTACACTGTTAAAAAAGCAACTTCAACTAATCCCGTTTTAAATACAAGTTATCTACTACTCTCTCTTAGCCATAACATAAGAAAAGTTTCTTTGGCTTTTTAACTTTTGTTTTTTTTATTTGTAATGGGAAACGAAGCAGCATTAAGATCATCAATGGTAGGTCTTGCAGTGGTGATGGTGGTGATATGGTTATGGACACAGTCTTTAAAGAAGACTGTTGTTACTTACGCCGTCGGTATTTCGCTTATTGGCGGCATACTTTTGCCGGATTGGGACTTCTTTGATCGGAGTTTCTCTCGGTGGGGATATCCTGTCACCGCCGAGGAAAGAGCCGCTGCTCTAGCCCGCAAATCTCATCCTTCAAGGTTACTTATTTATCTTTTCTCAATATCAAACTATGTAGTTGTTTTATTTATATATGAATATATTAATTTTGAATTATTAGATCTAAAATTTTGGTTTAGATTATTGTCTTAAAACCCATTGGTTAAACATAAACCATACGTTCAATGTTAGGTTCCATTTGTAATGTGTATGTACACCAAATTTTGGTTTAGATTAATAGCCTAATGGTTCAACCCTTTTTTTTTTTTTAATAATGGATAAATCTTTGGAACATATAAACAATAATGTACAATTTTAGGATCAATTTTTAATGTGTGTATAGCTACGAATTAGGTGTACAAGTTATGTATAATTCTAAGATGATTGATTTCTATTTATTTTTATGTAAACTATATGCAGGTTTAGAGTGTACCCTATGAGGATGGTTATATACGGTACGGTTTATGGATATGCAGTGTATAGGTGGTGGATGTTCGTGTCAAAATATTGAAGCCATATTGTATCACTTTGTCTATCTTTCTGTATGGTTTATGTTGATCAACAAAAAGACATTTTTTCTTTTATTTTAACTGTGTAGAACATGTAAGACGTCCAGATTACATATTGGTGTGTCCACATAAGATGGACCAAAATTGTCAAATGGATTGTTGTCTACAAAATTGACCCAAAACAAAACTCCTAGAGACTCTAAATGAACATTCTATCACCAAATTCTATCGCACATCAAAGATCTTTAGGTTAAAAGTTGACAGCTTCCAAGACTTCTCAAACTTCCTGATAACGTATGTTTTACCCTCTGAAGTCGATAAATTAGAGAGTGAATGTCTCTAGTTTGTTTCGCAAGGAGGAGGAGGAGGAGGAGGAGGAGGAGGAACACCGAAAACCCAATCTAGCACGTTTAAGTATTTTGATCGAAATACCTCTCTTTCCTGTGCGTAACAATGCATTATAATGGCTGTTGAAATACTAAACACAACCACATCTGCTCTTCTTAGACTCTTGGGCGGTCGAATGTATCCTGCATCTGTCATACAAGTGAAGAAGCTCTCTATTGCCCTCGCTAAGCAGTAGAGTGATATCTCTATCCTTCTGCTTTTCTTCTCAATAGCTAAAGCCAGACCTGTTGGGAACTGCAGGAAAAAGCCTAACGTTAGGTATACTATTGACATGATATGTGATGAGAATGGATTTCGTTTGTACCGTTGCTATGGCCACAAGTGGTATGTTGCATGTCTCAAAAGTCCGGAATAGTAGACAAGTCCAAGCCCTAGTTTAGATCATTATAGAAATGGTCTAAGTTTCAACTTCAAGTGAGAGAAAAAAAAAACAAAATTCGATATAGTTAAGGTATGAAATTAAGAGCCTTTCAAGAATTGATTCTAACCAGGCAGAAGAGCAGTAAGTAGCGAGAAACAAACTTGATCTCGCTGTGCCCAGAAGACCCTTGCCAAGTATAGAGTATTGCCTGTGAGATTGGGGATGAAACATATTATGAGGTGATGAATAAAATCAGAGCATAAAGAAAATATAAACCATTCAATGAGCAGTTTAGACATAAATCTATTACTTTTTTAGCAGGTCTTGACGATGAACGATTAGCGCTGGAATCAAATAGACAGGGACATAGACAGGTAACGCCCTCTTGTAAGCTTGAAGGAAAAATGTAATACCGTGCTTAACACATGACTCATTTCCATGTATTATCTGCAAGTAACAACATAAGTATTGAGTAAAACTTTTGTACACAACCATGCATGTACAACTATCGAAAAATGCTTTGTTCGCCTTAACAACCGAGAAATAGTAATGCTTGCTACTGATAGTACCATAGAACAAAAGATACTAAAATAAACATACCGAACAGGGGACTTTCATGTTAGGATCTAGTTTGATATCAACTCCAACAGACTTGTAATATTTCTCAATCGCTCTTAAATTAGTGAACGGTTGGGCGCTAGCGATATCTTTCACGCCTTGTAAGATAGAAAGATCCTTCCCACCTTGTTTGTTAAGGAAAGACTTGTACGATGAAGGAAGACTTTCTTGTTTCAAAATGTAAGCAGACCTAAAAAAACACGAAATCGTTAATCTAAGAATAAACACTAAACCTTTACTAAGTTACTATCTTTGTAGAGAGAAAGAGAACATACAAAATCTGTGAAGATGAGAGACACATGAGGAATAAATCTCCATGTTTCCAAGTAAGCGGCTTGCATATGGTACCAAACCGTTTACTTTTAATACCGCACCGCGATGCAAGAACCGCAGCACGCATCAATATATAAACAGCCAAACTCGTATGTTGCGTATTTGGCCCTGTGAGAAGCATAGATGGTCCAGCCACCAATCCAGCAAACAGGGCCCTCCACTTTGCAGTTCTGGATTCAGATAAATTACTTCACAGTGATCAAATCTGAAGAAATTAATATGATTCTATATTTCACTATTTTTGGTTTTAAATCTAAAAATTCACAAAAAAAAAAGTTCCAAGATTAGTGGGGACAACATGCCTCTTGTCTCCTGCAAAAGCAGCAATAGCTTCATCTACTGAAACAAAAGTCCCAGCAAAAGTTCCTAAGAACAATCCATATCTTAATGTCTCCTTAATCCCCATAGCAATAGCTTCACTATTCGAAAACTCTCCGGTTTTCCTAAACCGATAACGATCAGATTTCAAATCAGATGAACTAAACCGGAAAATTGAAAAAATTTCTAGGTGAAAATTCGATTTCGATTACCTCGATTGAAGTGTAGATCTACGACGACGAGCGAAACGAGCGACGATTGAGAAAATAGCTAATCCACCTTTTAAACCAGTACCTATAGTGAATCCTTTGACGGAAGCGACGATGATTCTTCGAAGCTTCTCTGAATCATTAACCGATTTCGATTTCGATTTCGAATCGGAATTTTTGCATTGTATGCATGTAAACTCATCCGATTTACGGAAATCGTCGCCATATATGTCACCGGAGATGCATGATGAGCAACGAGAACCGTTCGTCGATTCGCCGGACGGCGACATGACGACGGCGGAGAGAATCTCCGGATTGCGCCAAAAGTGATAGGTAAGCTTTGGTGGGAAATTGGGAATTGGCTTTTGAATAAAAAATACAAAGAAGAAAGAGAGAACCAGAAAAAAAGAGAAGTTTGGGAGAGTGACGAAGACAGCGAAATTTGTAGATTTAGAGAGCCACTAAGGATTATCCAGTTGTCAAAGTGACTGACACGTGTCGGTTTTGGTTTGTTCTTTTTCGCCTTTGTGAATCTTTTGATTCTCTTCTGCTTTGGGAACCGGAATGATTTGGAGTATGGGTTTGTGGAAGGCCATGGGCTTATTTTATGGGCTTGATAGCAGACAGGATAATATTAAAAACTTGGAACGTTACAAAAATCATATTTGAGACAGGATAATACGAATATCAGAGAGCTGGAAACGTGGAAGTCTTGGTTCAGTCGTTTGACTAAAGGTTTATTAATATTGTTTTTAGGGAAGATCATATTTTTAACCCTTAAAGTGTCATTGGGTAGCATTTTAAACCTCGAGAGATTTCCACTAATACTATAAAGTATAAACCACCAAAATAATTTTACTAACACTTTAAACCTCCAAACTAGTTTTCATGTTTGCACCGCTATAAAATATGATGGAACAATTAATTTATGTTGGTTTAATATAAATTTATTTAATTGAATTTAAATTTTAATTAATTTTATTATTTATTACGATTTTTTTATTATTAAGAAACGTAAAAAAAAATTAGATTCCTCCTTTACGGAGAATGCTTTGTTTTCTCACAAAATTTTGACATTCTTTAGTTTTTATTATTCTATTCAACCTTCTCTTGTACCTCACATTCTTCATTATTTGGTTTATATTATTATACTATAAATTTCTCTTGTGCTTAAATCTAAAGTTTCAGAGGTTTAATTTCGAAATTTCATGATCGAACGGTGAGTAAACAAAGAAGGTTGAAGTTTTTTTTTTATGTTTTTCTAGATTTTTATTAATTGTAATAAATAAGAAAATAAATTTAAATTTCAATTAAAGTTTTTTATATTTTTATTAATTGTAATAAATAATAAAATTAATTTAAATTTAAATTAAATTAAATAAATGTATACTAAACAAATAGAAATTAAATTTTCCATCATTTTTTATGATGGGACAAACAGAAAAGCTAGTTTGGAAGTTTAAAGTATTAGTAAAATTATCTTGGTGGTTTGTAGTGCTAGTGAAATTTTTTCTAGGTTTAAAGTTCTACCCAGTAACACTTTGAGGGTTAAAAATGTGTTTTTCCCTTTTTTTTTTTATCTAGATCTGGGAACAAAGTTTATCGGAGATTAAAAGTGCCACATGTAAAGCCGTTTGTAGTAGTCTGAGTGTTGCGGAAAAAACTGTGCCGTAAATCGTTCATCATAATCGCATATGATGCATGCAAGTAGTTGAATATCATCATAATAGAATTAGATTAAATATTTTTAGTGATGATGCAAGTTTATCTAATTGTTTTTCCTTTCTATAGTTATGAACTTTATAAATATGGTTAATCGAAGAGTTTTGGATCTGATTCCAGAGTCCATATTTTTTATTTGGGTTGAAATTTCTTTTTATTAGTACTGAATCTGTTTTCCTTTTCGTTTTTTGCAAACTAATTGTATTGAATCCAAAAAACGACATAATCTATATTATTAATTGGGAATCACTCAAACATAAGTAACCTTATTTTGGTAGATTAATTACGAAAAATGCCATTGAAAGGATGTTTTTTAGATCTGTATTTTTTTTTTAAAAAATATCAGACATTAATTGGTTAAACAACCATTATCTGTTCAGATAATAAAAAACAAATTTAATCTATACTACTAAAAACAAAACAACAAAATCCATAACGAAATCAATTTCGGCCCATGTCAATATGTATTGGGTGATCCATAACAAAATATTTCTGTTTCAGGTAATGGCCCACGAAATTAAACTTTGATTTTAGTATTAAACACCTTATGCTAAGTGTATATTAATTTTAAACATTTCAAATTAATTTTTAATATATGTATATTAATTTTAAACATTTCAAATATAGTATTCTATATTTTGAAATTTTACCTTTCGATTGTTAGTATTAAACACCTTAATTATGTTACAAACAAAAAAGAATAATAAAATTCATTTAAAATAATACTGTTCAAATTATTTGTTTTGCACTAAAACAAACTACTTATTTTATTGTATAACACTTTTCTATTATGATAAGTGTTACATCTTTTAGTAAATACACTTTTCTGCAAAATGTATAATTAATCAAATTGAAAATCAATGTGTGTAATAAAGTTTATTTTAAAGATTGATATTTTTACTATTAATTACATAAAAAAAAGGAAAAATTTAAATTACAACTTTATGTAAATCCTATCGATTCAAAATCACAACCCACACGTACGTGCGGGTCCGGATCTAGTTTTTCTTTTTTATTTTCGGAATGCGTATTGCCAACCAAATATCGTCTAGTTAAATCTTTCTTCAACAAATATTGATAATACATGTATCATCATAAAAAATAAAAATAAAAACTTGAATTATTTAATTTCATGAATTCAACAAATATCAATATTATTATAATTAATTGTATTAAGACATGTTTCAGTCAATTAATTAGATGTCCACATGTGTGAACAAATTTTACTTCTTTTTTCTCTAAAAAACTACCAACATATGTATATTTTAGAAAAATATAATTTTCTTTAACGAAGAAAAACAAACAAAATCTATATTATTAATCGGGAATCACTAGATAATAAAAAACATTTAAGTTGTAGAATATTACATAAGATGACATTGGTATTTTTAAAATTTGAAGAAAGATGAAAATATTTAACATTTTAATTAGAATTTAAATGATATAAATTTTGAAATATCTTTTTTGAAAACGGGTAGTTTAGATTTTAAAACATTTCCTTAACAAATATATATACACAATAAATATGCAATAACAAATCTTTCTACAGATATATATATACGTAACAACAATGTTAAAATCTGAATGTTCTCAAAATACAAAAAAAAAGATTTAGGAAAATTAATCTTAACTAAAAGATTTGTTCACATTAAAAGATTTAGGAAAATTAATTCAAAATGATTATCTAAAATTTATTCACATTAAATCCTCTCTTCATTTTAAGATTTTGTTAAGATTCGTTTTAAAAACTTATGGAGCAAGTTTATCAAATAAATTTAAAATATCTATATTTAATAAATTTGTCTCATATTAGAAATGTATTCTCTTATGCAACATGAATTGGGAAACGGGTATAGGATATAATGAAAATGGCGAAACCAAATGGAATTACGTCTACTTCTAAATATTTATATTTGTTTAATCATTTTAACGGTTTTATATATGGGTTGGTAGTTCACAAGTTTAATAAAAATGTAACTAACCATGAATCCGTTTCAATTTGATCCCGGTCCGACCGCTAAGTTGTTACAAAAATTTAAAATACTGCTGAAACCATAATTATTTCAAATATTAATAAGCTAGATTAAAACCAAACTGAAAATTAAACTAAATACCCAACTGCTATGAGTTCGGGTTATAAATACTATATAAAATATATTTGTTTACATCAATCTAACCTATATTATATTTCAATCTAAAATTTTTCCTAATCTACTCTTCAGTTTCAAACTCCAAAATTCGACATATGGTTCACAACATTAGTTTTTGTGTCGTAAACAACATAAATAACATTCTACACTTTTCTTGGTACATTATAATTTATATACTACAATATATATCACCAAAACAACAAAATAATCTATATTTACTAAAAATTTATTACAACACATTTCTTAAAATATGAAATCCCGCACGTTCGTGCGGGTCATGATCTAGTTATCTATAAATGAAGAGACTGGAATTTTGTTAGTTTAGATTGGTGACTACATAAATTTTTGTGAGCATCACAAAATAAAGATACCAACAAAAAATATAAGATGTTGAGATACACAAATGAGGAGTGTGATGGAAAAAATAAAGTAGTATGAGCGGGAATTAAAAGAAATGGTCATTAAAATTTCAAGAATACTATAGTTATGTTCAAGGTAGAAAGTTTATGACAAGTCATTCATATCCAAATTCTAGCTCAAATAGTAATATAATTTTAGTTAAAAATCAACTTAGAATATGTGGTTTTTTCTTAATTCATGTTAATTTCAGCATTATATCTAAATTAATTGTGAAATTGATTACAATAGGTTGGTACGTTTAGTGAACCGTTGCCAATACCAATGCTTCTCCCAAACTTGATACATAGAATCCACAGGGATCCCTTTGGTCTCCGGTAAGAACATGATGACGAACACCGTCATATTAAAGATCCAACCACCATAAAACAAGAACGCACCGTACTTGAAATCGCAGAGCGTTGCTAAGAACGTCTGAGAGAGAGCGAACGTCGCGGCGAAGTTCACGGCGACGCTTAAGCTTTGACCAGCCGGTCGCATCTTGAGTGGGAATATCTCACTTGGGACAAGCCAGCTCAATGGCCCCCACGACCATCCAAACCCAGCCGAGTATATGCAAAGTAACACCACCACCGTCACGGCGTAACCCTTCTTCATCTCTCCGTCCCCGGTTGCTCCCACTGTCACCGCTAGTAACACAGCCACTGCAATCTGTACACAAGCCCGAGTTATCAATATTTGGCCCAATCACGTAATGTTTTTTTTTCTTTCTCTCTTAACCTGCAATTAAAGCAAAACATTACTAAAGATACTCAGACCTAGTGAAGATGGTGTATTCGGCAACCGAATAACCAGTCTTTTCAGTGTATTTGAAAACTTTTAAGAACGACAAGGAGGAATTTTCAAGTTTCTCTTTATCTTTAATCCCTCTAAGTGCAAATGTAAAAGCGGATAACTTGACACGAAAAATTACTAAAAATACTTTCAATTTAGAAACATTTGTGATTTTAGTCTAAATTAGGTTAAATAGATGACGGAAAAAAAAATTATTCAAAGAGGAGAAGATTAATTGCTCATAAATAATTTTCATGCAAAAGTCAATTTTTTTATCATCAAAAATATATTTATGAGAGATAATTGTGTTTATCATAAATGTTGTGGAAGTGGAAAATAGTTACTATATTGTATACGTAATAAAATTTGCATTTAAATTGTATTCATAAATCACAACCATATGCGTAAGCATAAATAATCTGTACCTTAATTCGAACGTACCTGGCAGAGAAACATCTGAATACCACCAGCAATGAACAAAAACCGTCTACCAAACCGGTCAATAACCGTGGTTGAGACAAGAAGCGAACCAAGATTAACCAATCCGAGTATCAACGTCGCAATAAGAGCCGGACCAGAACCAAACCCAACCGATCGAAACAGAACCGGCGCATAGAACGCATTAACCGTGATCCCGGTTAACTGTTGAAAACATGGTATCCCAACAGCAACCACAAGATGAGGCCTATACCGTCGCTCCAATATTGTCTTCATAAACGGTTCGGCTCTAGCCTCAATGGCTAGTTGGCTTGACCTAGACAACTCTGCTAGCTCGATTTCCACGTCAGCTATGTTTTCGACGCCACGTAGCTTAAGCAGCGACGTGTGAGCTTGATCGTGTTTCCCACGCGCCAATAGGCTAGATGGTGTGTCGGAAATGAATAGACATCCCACGGTCATGATCGCGGCTGGTACAGCAGCTAGACCTAAAGAGATACGCCAGCCGTTACGGTGACTGTCCGTACCGTAGTTTATTAGATTGGCTGCTACAACTCCGACACCGATGAAGAATTGAAAGCCGGAGTTGAATGCTCCACGCCATCGCGGTGGTGCTACTTCCGATAGATACACCGGAGCCGCCTAGAGTGTTCACATTTAATAAAAATAGTAAGTTGCTCCATATTTATTTTTATTAAATGTGATAGATATGCTAACAATTAAACAAAAATGTTTATACCGAAACCGTTCAAACCGAAGTAAATTTTGTTTAAAAACTAAACTAAACTAAACTAAAACGCCAACTAAAACTGTTTCTGTTTTTTTATTTAAACTTGTTACAAAAAAAATATGCTACTTTTATAAAAAAAAGTTAATTATTAATACTAAAACCAACAAATAAAAAAATTTTATGGGCCCTTCTAAATTTTCTTTTAATGTTATAATCTAATTTTTAACACTTTTATAAAATATTTTTTAAAATGAGCCCTTTAATTATTTGAACAAGAGATTCGGCCCCTGGCCATCGCACCGCCTGCCCTCCCATCTGAGCCGGCACTGGGTTTCAGGTTTTATAAAAGTGATAAAACCAAAAATAAATAAGAAAGAACAACTTAACTATATATTAACACTCAAACAAACAAAAATATACTATGGACTTCAGTGAAATTGGAACTATAGCTACCTGGTTGGTGAAGCCAACACCAAATCCTAACAAAATCCGACCGGAGATAAGCATGGCAATGTTGGCAGCTAAGCCATTGATCAGGGCACCAAAGAGGAAAGTGAAACCGCCAAGGATCATGGTGGTGCGGCGACCATAAGCCGCTGTGAGACGGCTAGCCACTAAGGAAGCGACTAAGCCGGCGACATAAAGGCTAGATGTGAAGGCCGTAAGAAGTTGGCTGTCGTAGACGCAGTACACATTCGTCTTAGCTTCCGAAGCTTTTTTAAGAACCGATGGAAAGAATTTCTCAAGAAACGGCTTCATTGTTGTCACACCCCCTTTATTAAATTAAAATCAAAGATAAATTAGTTAATATTGTTTAATTTTTTATTTTTTTTTAAACGTGGTTTATGAAATGATCCTTTTCTGTGCTTGAATTTGTAACCTGATATTCCGATGTCATAGCCAAAAATGAGACCACATGAGGCAGCCACAATGCAACTCATGACAACTGCGGTTGTGATCTTGGCATCTATGTTTCCGGCGCCGGAGACATCAAGAGCCAATCCTCCGATAGCCATTTTGCTTATGTCTTACAAATGAATTGTAGTTTTTTTTTTAATTGTAAAACCAAATGAACAAAGAGAATACATTAAAGAGGATTTTTAGGTGAGTCTTTTAGTTAGTTGGCATGGTGACTTGATGGTGCAAGTGTGCAAGTGTGCAACCACTTATCTATATTTTTTTTTCTTCTTATGGTTAGAATTTTGTATCGAAACACATACGTCTTAGATGGTAGACCACATATCTTTTATTTAATAGCATAACCTATATATATGTAATGAACTAATTTACATTCTTCAAAAAATACCATATGTAGGTAATAATAGATCGAGTTTGGTATAACATCCTTATCGTTGACAGAAACTGATAAAAGGATCCATATACAATAGAAGATAAGAATGTGAAAATAAATACTTGCACAAAGACAAAGTTTACATAATATAATGTTGGTTTGTCACGTGTTCTAACATTTTGGTAGGAAGAATTAAAGACGTAGTTTTAGCCTCAGTGCTTTAAATTCTACTAGTAAGTATAAAAGTGTGACGACATTTAGCACATTAAAGACTAATTTGCTGGCCTTTCCTGATAAATAAAATTTCCGAGATGTACATATATCTAAATTAGATAATATTTGCTTTTGTACCATTTGTCGCATGTAGTGACGAATTAATACTTGGCCTTCATAAGAGCAAATTTAAAATACAAGCAAGTTAATAATGAAACCCATCGATTAGTTGGTATGTGTGTGTGTGTCCATGACACATTGAATATCTATTCATTTCTCCAAAATATCTTTGAGGTATGATTTCCAATTTGAACCCACCAGCTCTTTTTCACTTAAACGAGTCTTTAACAATATAGATATTGGAACTTTTTCATAAATTAATGGCCTCTAAATTTAATATTAACACACTAAAGGCCACAAACACATGCTTGTGTAGCTTCTATTGAGGGCGGGCTCTGAATATAAACCCTAAAGAGTCTTATAATATATAGTTTAGATTTCTCTAAAGTCCAAATTGTACAAACCTTTGTATTGAATAAGAAAACACCTTCTTCAATTTCTACATTATCTTGAGGTTTCAACCAAACTATACTCATTACAAATCTTCAATACGTATTAAACCTAAGGAGGTATATTAATGAATTTGTTTGAATGGTATAAACCATATTTTTTTCATTTCTAAGATGCTACTGCCATCTTTGAGAATTTTGCTTTTCATTATATGCGAATATTTTTCCATTTGCATTATGTATATTTTTTTGTCGCCAACTAATTTTATTAATATGATCAAGAAAGAATTCATTTGCAATATATATAAAATCCCCATTTAAGAAAATATAGGATCACTAGTTTTTGATAGTAAAAATTTAGAACAAAAACAATAGGGAAACAAATCTAGAAATTAATATAATTCTTCAGTTTTTGGGTCAGAAATAAATATATTTAGGTTTCAAGTTTCAAGAGTGCCATTTTTTTAAATTCGTATTTTTATGTATATAGTAAAATTTAAAAATAGACCCGATAAGTTAATTTAAAAAAAAAATTAGCATCTAATTAACAAGGTTTTAGTAATAGAACGCTATATTTTAACAATTACCTATTGACTACTTTTTAGATTTCAGTCTACCAAAAATATACGTTCACAAGAATAGCAATCTATCTATTTATTTTCCCACTATCTATCTATTTGTTTAAGACAAACAAATATAATACAATATATAAATAATCCAAACTCTCTCCAATCCATCAAAAAAACTAAAACCATTATAAGGAAAGAAAAATGAAATCTACAACAACTCAAACCCTAATCGTCACAGTTTTTCTCCTTACAATTCCAACATCATTCGCAGCAGCACCAAAACTCGAAGACAGTTTCACACAATGTCTCACCAATTTCAAACCTTCCGACCCAAAGTTCCCAATCCAAAACTTCACATACACGTAACAAAACCCTAACTTCCTCACCATTCTCAACAACTACGTCCGTAACCTCCGTTACTTCAATGGTACTACACGTAAACCGGTGGCGATCGTGGCCGCGGCTCACTTCACTCATATCCAAGCTACAATAAACTGCGCCAAAAAACTTGGCCTCCAGCTTCGAATCCGTAGTGGAGGACACGACTACGATGGAATGTCTTACTTATCTACCGTCGATTTTGTCGTCCTCAACATGTTTAATTTACGGTCAATCGAGATCGATCCAAAAATAGATACCGCGTGGGTACAATCCGGTGCAACCCTAGGAGAGATCTACTACAACGTTGCCAACAAAAGCAACAACCTCCGAGGGTTCCCCGCAGGAATCTGCCCCGGTCTCGGTGCTGGTGGGCATTTTAGCGGTGGTGGTTACGGAAACATGATGAGGAAATACGGTTTATCTATTGATAACATTATAGACGCTAAAATCTTTGATGCTAACGAAAGAGTCTTGGACCGGAGCTCAATGGGAGAAGATCTTTTTTGGGCCATACGAGGCGGTGGAGCCGCTAGTTTCTGTGTTGTCCTAGCCTGGAAGATCAAGCTTGTTCCTTTCCCGGAGAAAGTTACAGTCTTTAACGTTGAAACGGTTGGAAAGGAGGAGTAACCACTACCGATCTTGCAGCCAAATGGCAAGAGATCGCCGACAAGATCGATAACGATCTGTTCATAAGATTAACGTTGAGCTCAAGTAACAAAACGGTCAAGGCTTCTTTCATGGGAATGTACTTAGGAAACTCCGAGAAGCTTCTAGAGATTATGAACGCGAAATTCCCGGAACTCGGTCTTAACAAACAGAGTGTATAGAAATGAAATGGATCGAATCGGTTCTGTTCTGGCTTAGTATCCCACCGGGTACAGCACCAACATCGATCATGCTAAACAGAATCCCACAAAAGCAAATCTTTCTCAAAAGAAAATCCGATTACGTGCAGAACCCGATCTCAAAACCCGGTTTAGAATCGATATTCAAGATTCTTTCCGAGAACGAGAACGTGTTGATGGCTTGGAACCCATACGGTGGGAGAATGAGCGAGATTCCGGCGACAGAAACAGCGTTTCCTCACCGAGCAGGGAACATGTTCAAGATTCAGTACTCATCTAACTCGTTCGTGCCAGGTGAAGAAGCGGCTAGCGATTGCTTGAGCCAGACGGAAAGAGACAAAGAGTGTTCGAAGCAATGAGCCCTTACGTGTCTAAGAATCCAAGAGAAGCGTTTTTTGAACTACAGAGACGTTGACATTGGGAAGAACTTGAACTCAACATACGAGGAAGTTAAAGTGTATGGAGTTAAGTATTTTAAGAATAACTTCGAGAGGTTGGTTCAGGTTAAGACTAGAGTTGATCCCGACAACTTTTTCCGGTACGAGCAGAGCATTCCAGTGCACTTTAACCATTAGAGACATTCTTATTATTTGTGTCTTGTATTAATAATGTTAAATACTACAATCTCTCGGTAATTTACCCATGACCTTGTGGGAGAGGAGGTAATTAGTACCTTTTTTTGTAATATCAATAAAATGTTATTTAAATTTTATTTTTTTTTGTTGTTGGAGATAAATGTGCTTTTTCTTGTTTAGTTAAATCTGAAAATATCTATACTATTAATTGGGAATCATTCTAATTTAAATAACCTTATAAAGTGTAAAAAATTACAAAGATTGCCATTGGAATTTTTTCATCCTACGTTTCCTTTCAAAATTTCGAAAAAGGGTATAACGGATAATTTGCACAACAATAACACATGGATCTTGGAGCAATCAGTCGGATCTCTATCCAGAAGTGTATAATGAGCTTACTGGGCTTAGTCGAGCTGGGCCTTCATATTTCACTCGCATAAAGTACTCCGATCTGCATTAATTCAAAACACAAAATTAAATTCGTGCATATAAAGATATTTTCCATAACAAACAAACCTATACATTCAAATTAGTAAAATATCACTTCACCGATATTTCAATAACAACTCAATCCCATATATTTAGATGATTAAAAGAAAACTTATCTCTTTATATTCGATTTCCTTGATTAGTTATTAGTTTTACCAATAATAACAAACTCTATATATTCATATCGGAATAAATTAAGCATATACCTTAACTATTCTTATTCTCAAATCTTCTCTTAGGCGGTAATTCTCTAAATCCTAAGCAACCCTAGATGTCCTCCATCTCTTATAAATATAGAAATCAAATGACATTCTCAATACTCACTAAGATGTCCTCCATCACTAAGTTGGAAGAGACATTTGTTCACAGAGGTAAGAACCAATAAGAAATGATTCTGATATATCTCTGTTATACTATAATAATTTCTGATTTCTTTATGTCTGAACAGGTCAAACAAGGTATGAAAACGTGTGTTTGGCAAATAAAGGAATCAGTGAATGAAGTTTTCAGAGAAGAACTGAAAGCCAACCCTACTATTTCTGTTATTTTCATGTTTTCTTTTTACATGAATTCGAAGACACATCTATCTTATAACAGCTTAACTTTAGAAAATCTCACAACTTACTACTTCTATTAACAAACAAATACATAATAAAGCTCTAACAGCATAACAAGCAACCAAATTACTGTGTAAAAATTTATGACATATTTAATTTGTAAGTATTTCATCTACACTTATTCAACCAAATTTGGAAATCAATAGAGTAAGTCTATATTGTTATCACCTAATCAAAAGTGTTATGTTTAATATCTTACTAACCTATTAAGTATAGATCTCTGGAAACCTCCAATTACAACACCAAATCTCTTTCCTCCTTCAGAATCCAACTTTAAACTGATCCTTGGTCTGCAGATTTTGCATATTTAACAAAGTTTCATTAGTACAACCATATAAATCATTCTAAAGACTAAGAAACATTGCCGTTTTAAATTAAAAGGATTGTACCAAATTACAATTCAAGAATGCTCCAAATTGAACTGTTACTGCTTCTGCTCCATAAGAATTAGATGCCCAAAATGGTACTTGGCCTGCAGACAATGAACTTTGTATCATGAATCTAACATTGAGCTAAAGAATAATGAAGCATGAGCATTTTGAAATAAAGTGCTCAAGTTATATAATAATCTTAATAAATAAAAACTTATCTTCGTGGTTGTTCTTCATTTGAGAATCCATCAAAATATGGCTATTAATCTGAAACAATTATAAAAACTAAAAAAAGTTTATAGATTTACAGGATACAAAATATACTGAAATTGATTAGATTTAGTCTATTAACACTACGAATTTGATGAAACATATTGATTTACTAACTAACATATTTCAACAAAACGAAACACAAAAAGTGAAAATTGCATGCAATTAGATATGAAAAAGGTAATAATTAATCAAATTTTTGTGCGTTATTCACAATCGTTGTATAAGATCTATAATGAAACACGAAAAAATCTATGGTAGAAACTCAATCGACAGATTCTAAACAAGTACAAACAAAAATCAAAGAAAAGAAAAGCTTACTGATACATGTCAAATTGATCCTAAAGCCTACTCTCTCAAATAAGAGATCTATTGCAGTACTTAAGGGTCGAATTCCACAAAGTTCTTTTGTTCACACAATAAGTTATAAGTCTCGAAATTAGGCTAAACAAAATAATTAAAATTAAAATAAAACAATAGCAAGCAATGATATCGGGTGAAAAGATCAATAGATTAAAGCGTCAGGTTTAGGGAAATTCTCAGGAAATAGATGATTAGTAAATCTAGCAAGTTAATTAGGATTATTTAATGAACCGTTCTTGAAATCAAATCACTAATGAATAGCTAACCACCTCTCGATGCGATAACTAACAAGCCTAATATCAGTAATTCCACCTCTCGATGTGAATTCCTAGATCTAGACTAGCATTAAATTCAGGTTTGATAAGTTCACCTTAGTAGATAGGCCGATTCTTATTACACACCTATAAACCAGGTTCATCTAAGGTAGTTCAGGTAACAGGTGCCCTCTCGGATCAAATACCTATTATCATAAGATCAGGTTCTAGTTAGCTACTCTAGAACAAGCTAGATGAAGAACTCTATGGATTAATCCTAACAGGTAATCAGTTTACTAGTTCATCTAAATCTCTAATGAGAATCCTTAAACCTAACAGGGAGATTACTCAGACATGATTAATGAAACAGAAAACATGTTGAATAGATTGCAAAATAAGAAATCAAAAGAAGAAAAGAGTTTAGAATAAATCTTCTCTCTAACAAGGTATTCAAATCTCTGAAAGTAGCTCTCTCCAATTATATTCCAAAGGGTTCAAGCTCAGAGAATTACAAAAGCAAAAGACAAGATCCTCAAACAGAAAAACCCTAAAAACTATTTATAAAGTCTCAAAAACGTGCAGGGACTAAAATTGCAAATAAGGAAGTCTTCTGGGTAAATTCTGCGGGCTTTAAAACTCTAAACCGTCGAGACTTCTTGCTGGGCCGTGTTTGGTGTCGAGCGACACCAAGGGTGTCGGTCGACACCCATGCCTTGGTTCGAACCGGATTCGTCTCTTCAGCTCCAAATCCTCGGTTTAGCTCCAGAATGATTCCTTTTCTCCATTTTTGTCCCGAACGTGTAAAAACCTGAAAAGACTCGAAAAGACACTGGAAACAACAAAAAGACTCTAAAACCGACACGTAAATCACGGTTAAAACTGGTAAAATCCGTGATATATCAACTCCGCCAGACTTAGCTTTTGCTTGCCCTCAAGCAAAACACAAAAACCGAACCCGTGGAAGAAGTTTGAAAACACAGAAACTCCCAACTTCTCTAGCCTATTACCTTGATTTTTCAAACCAAATCCAAATACCTAGCAGATCGCATCAAATCCTAACCACCATGTAATTCTCCGCAAGCATTCTCAACATTCCAAATTCCAAACCAAATTCCACAACTATATCCTATAGCCCTCATCGCATAAATCTCATCAATAAAGTCAGTACTCAAGAACCTTCTAGACTCATTCTCATACTATACCATGATAAATCAACCATTACAACATATTTAGGTACTCTTTCTCTCCCTCAGACTTATTCCTTTTCAAACCATTTTTTTTTTAGCGTCAAAGGTGTAGGCGAATAATGGTATCATCGGAAATTTTCCTAACCTCGCTTCCAACCTTCGTGTGATCATTCCTCTTGAAGTAAAATAATGAGATCACGGAAAATTTTCCTATCTCTTTACTCCAAAAGAAAATCATCTCAATCTTTTTTTTTTTTTTTTTTTTTTTTTTTTTTTTTTTTTTTAACATAAGGGAGAGGAGTACCATCTTTTTCCACTTAGGTCTCATTTATCAGGTATGAACGAGGAGTCAAGTTCTACGAACACTAACCGTATTGACGAGGTGAAGATCATGAACTTTGCTCAGGCTTTAACGGATTGTGTTGGAAACGTGGATGTCCTCTGGTCTATCGATTAACTCTCTGGATTTTCCATTAGTCGGATTGATTTGAATCTGCAGCATTAAACTAACCAGGCAATAATCTAGAGAAAAAGATCATAATTTCTAACAAAATTTTGACTCAATAAAACGACTCAAAGAAAAGAAAAATAAAAATAGGACTCAAAAGAAAAACATAATTAGTAACTGCGTCCCCCAGACTTCAACGACACTGTCCCCAGTGGCATTTAAATTCGGAGTAAGCGAAAAAGAAGAAAAATAAAATATAATAAAGAAAAAAAATAAAGTAAAAGAAAAGAAAAACATACCAGTGGGTTGCCTCCCACTAAGCGCTTATTTTCAGTCATTAGCTTGACTATGTCAGGATTCAGGAGTGAGGTGGAGCAGGAGAAGTGTTTGAAGACTTCTCAGAAGCGCGACGCCTTGCTAACCATGGTGGAGTGTAAGCGGTGGAGGTGTGCTCATGTCCAAGGAAACGTGTAGAAGCATCGGTGTCCTTAGTTCCTTGTCCTGCATCAACAACAGAAGAAACAAGCACGCGAGAATCTCATGGCTCGTTTACCTGTGAAGCTAGATATGGAAGTATTAATGGAAGAAGGTAGAGGATGAGGAAGAGATGAGCAACACCTTTGCTGATCAAGGCGTGGAAATCGTGGGCGAGGTGCTCTGTATGGCTCGGAAACAGCTCCCGAACTCTTGGCAATGTGTGTAGTCCCACGAGCAATGTTGGCTCAAGGTGGTGTCTCTGGTCGTCGAGGGTGTCGATCGACACAGGTGGTGTCGGTCGACACCAGTCCGTCTACAGAAGTCTGAGTGGCGAGCTGAGCATTGTCGGGCTCCTTTGGCGTAGTACACTGCAATTCCTGCGCAGATTCCCTTGTAGACTCAACAGAGAAAGACTTATCACTGAGGAGCGGAGGTGTACGTGGTCCCTTCATGTCGAAATTCATCTTCACATCACACACATCCAACTAAATTTGTCCCTTCTTGACATCAATCTTCGCACCAGCTGTAGCTAAGAAAGCTCTACCCAAGATAAGAGGATCTGTGGGTTCATCATCGTAGTCCAACACTACGAAATCAGCAGGTATGAGACAACGAAGATGATATTCTCAGATTGGAAAATTGTCGAAGGTTTCAGACAACGAACAAAAAGAAATATCTTTCCAGATAATAAAAAACATAAAATGAAATAATGTTAGGAACAAGATTTGACTGTTTTACGGCCCAACACAAATATTTTTGGTTTAAGACTATGGCCCATTACGACAAATATTTGAAATATGGCCCAAGGAAAAAAAATAAAATGTGACCATGTTAGTGAGAAATATCAAATTCATATAAAACATTAGAAATTAATAATATAGAGTTGTATCAATATAAAAAATTTAATAGTATATATTTGAAATTTTTTCCTTACTATACTAAGTACTAAACATAGTAATTATGTTACAAAAAAAAATTTAATTGAACACAGTAATGTGTTGTAATACCCAACTATTTTTTTATACAAAATATACCGGAATACATATGTCTCGAACGATTTGATCAGTTCCCAATACTAATATATTCAATCCTGTAATTTGTTACAAAAATCTATTTTAAATAGTCATAACAAATTCAAAATTATACACACATTCGAAACCTAGATGATATAAATTTTATACAAGAAAATCGTAAGTTACAAAAACCCCGTACGTACGTGCGGGTCCTGATCTAGTAAATGTTAAAAGGGAAACAAGATAAGATTTGCATTGTTTTTTTTTTTTTTTTTTTTTTTTTTTTTTTTTTTTTTTTTAAGATTTGCATTGTTTATTTTGCACTCTTTTTTTATTCATTTAAAATCCAGAAAATACAATAAAAATTGAAAATTATGATTACAGATAAATATGAAAATACCCATTACAATATATTTGGAAAAAAATGTTAAAATATTTTGGATTTTATTTGGATTTTAAGTTTTAAAATTAAACCAAAGCATGATTGGTAATAGGCTATTAACAATACAAATCTTATCTTTTGGATTTGTGCTAAGTGGGTTGACCCAACCAAAAAACAAAAAAAAAACATCTGCTTAGTGGGCTGAACTTGGGCCTCATAAATCACTAAACGACAAAAACGAATTAGGGATCGTCTTCTTCGAAGAAAAAATCGGAAACCTGTGACCTTTGTGATTGTGGCCATCGACGATCGTCATCTTCCTTCTGGTTCTTTCTGTGCTCTCAAGACCATTGGGTCAAACCGTTATCTCGAAGTCGTCTCTGTAGAACTGATGGAGCCACCTGAAGGTTCTTTTATATGCTTTCATAAATTTCATTAATTGCCCACCAGGTGTTCGATGATATTCCCCATCCAAATGAAATGACTTGAAAACTTTGTTTCTCAATGATTTACAGATTTGAAGGATGATTTCGCCAAAGAGCTTTATGGAGAAAGTGTACAGCTTTCGAAACATGGTGAAGACTCTTTACCCGATTATGCAATTTACAAAGTTTTTGGTTTACAAATTTGTTCTCGTAGTTTAGCTGAGTTCTTGTGTTTGCTTGATTGTTTAGGCTTAGAGCATAGTTAACTTCATTGTATTGCTAAGTTTTGGCTTTCCAAGTCTCTCTGACAAGAATCATCTTTTGGTTTAGGTAATAATGATCATGTTCTTGAGAATTTAGATGATCCCTTTTACGGAAGTTCAGATGAAGATTATAGTGAAACTCGCGTGTTGGCCAATGAGAATAAGTTGAGACGTGTGAAATTTGAATCGGTATTCTTTCTTTCTTTATCATTCTCTCTGTGTAAAATGCTTTTCAGTCTTGATCAATTTCTCTATATGTCTGGATTTTTTATGGTAAATCGAAATCGTAGGCTGGATACCGTGATGGGATTGTTGCCGGGAAAGAAGCTATTGCGCAGGAAGGTTATAACTTTGGCTATAAGGAATCTGTTCTTGATGGTTACAAGTTTGGTATTGTTAGAGGTGTTTCCAGGTAATTACAAGTCTGCTGCGATGTGTTAAATATCCGATGAAGCTTATCGAGTAGTAGTTTATAAAGATTCTGTTTTGACCCTTTTTGAAGTGCGCTGGCTTTCCTCCCGGATGAGCTTAGAGAAAAGCTAATCGATGAACAAGAAACTAGAGAGAGGTTTCAGAAATTACACAGTTCTGTGCATGCTCTCTCAACGGAAGTAGCAATGAAGCGGTTCTATGAAACTTTGACTACAAAGCAAGGGGAAGAGAAGAGTGGAGAAGAAGGGCTCGTCTCTGGTTCTGTTTCTGGTTCGGGTGTTAATGCCACAACGGACTTGGGAAGCTATGTTACTGAGCTAAGCTCTCTTCTTGAAAAATCTCCTAAGATTGAAGTTAAATTGGACACATAGAGGAGACTTGTTCTCTAATGGTTATTGCCAAGCAAAAGCAAGATTATTAGTGTCTAGTTTCCATACCAAACTTTTGTAAGCGTGGTTCTGTTTGGTTCATTGTTGTTCAGTTTGGTTAGGTCTAGAAATTATTGCTTGCCTTGACATGAATTATCTGTAAATTCGACCCAAATCTCACTTGTTATACAATTTTTATTTTGCTTATAAAGATTTCTTTTGGGACTACTACAATTAGTTGTGACGTAGCGTAACGGTGACATCACGTTCATATGTTCTTTACTTCTTTTAAGGCCAATAGCATGACATAGAAAACACAGTTCATTCACTTAACTTGTCATATAATTTTTGGACTTTTTATATAACCCCTAGATGTAATACTTAATTGGGCTGACGATTTATCTCCCACGAAAAAATATCGTATAGCACCAGATGCAGTTAAACTACCGTCTCGTGCTATATATCCCCGAAAATAATATTCGAAACCTATATCTCTCTGCATTGAAATTTCATAACTTATATCTCTCCGAAATCATAGCTCGAAACTTCGGAACTCACAATCATTATATTAGTCGGTTTACGACCTAAACCGAATACCAAACCGAATTACAACCCGACCCGATATCTTCTTCTTCAACACCGTTAAGTCATTAATGTACATAATTCTCATCCACACCTACTTAATTTGATCTAATGAAGTTAATGTTGAGTAAAAAAGAAAAAACCAATATTCCGTTTTTTTTCTCTCTCATTAAACCCAGAAAACCGAATTATCCATAACGAAACCGGGTCGGGTCAGATCTAGCGGCCGACTTCTCCTAGTACACAGATCCAAAAGCACACACACAACCGTATAAAGTTAATCTCTTGCCGGAAGCGCGTCGCCGATCACGCGCATTCATCTTCTTCTTTCTCTCACCTAATCACATTTTTGTCTTTAATGGTGAAATCGATCTAATTCGTCCGTGAGAACTAAAACCAACTCTTCCCCCAAAAACCTTGCTTCAACCATACTTCACCACTCTTCTCGCGTTCTCTGTATATATGCATCTATACTTAGTAGAGAGTTCTCACCGTCGACGACAATGCTAAAATGGCTCAATTTAGACAATCGGAGAGATTTAGTGTTCGCGGCGGCGGAGTTGCTTCTTCTGATCACGTAACGATCGGGATCCGAAACGGCGTCGGTGGAGCTAAAGGTAACAACAACCGGTGGAGACGATCCGTGAGAGCTGATAAGATTCGTCGACTTGGAATTGGTTCTGTTGTGTTTGTTCTTTGTTTTGTGCTTGTTGTTACTCTTCTCGCTTACTATTATATCTCTGGGTTTACTTATAATAGCTACGATGATAAAGGTTAGTTTTTTTTTTCTCTGGATCTTTGTGGTGAAGATGGTGAGTTTGTAGATTGTTTTTGATGAGTTTTGTGTTTGGGGCAGGATTTGTTGATTCATATGAAGGTGATTTTTTGACGAATGTGACTAGAATTGATCCTTCGAAAGTGCTTGAGTTTGGTCAAGGTTCAGTGATTCATGGACGAGATTCGAGGTATTGGGATAAAGATGATAGAAGAAGAGATGATGATTATAATGAGGATGAAGTGAAAAAGGATGTACAAGTTCACAATCCTGTGAAAGGGATTGGTTTGTATAATGAAGCTGGAAGGAATGAGTTAAAGATGTATGAAGCTGAGTATCAAGCTACGCTTGGGAAAGGTGGTCATGAGAGAAACGGTGTGCAGCGTCATGAGGGTGTTGATATGGATCGTGAGGATGATGATGGGATTGATTCTCATGATGGGGATGAATATGTTGATTCTGGGCATGAGGATGAGAATGAAGAGGCGCGTAAAGAGAAGGTTGGTGAGGTTGTTCATTTGGTGACTAAGCAAGAGAATATAGAGAAGGATGATGGAGGTATTTCAAAAAGGTCACTTGGGGATTCTTACCTTGTTAGTAAGGGTGGTAAGTCTGGGAAAACATCACGGTCTGATACAAAGAGAAGAGGTCGTCGCAGATCTTCAGGTGATAATTTGTGATTAGCTTGGTTGTGAAGTTAGTTTGGGTATTTGCTGCTCATCATTCATTTCTTGTTCAAATTATTTCAGGTTCATGTGAAATGAAGCTATTGAATTCTAGTCAACAAATAGTGGAGCCCTTGAATACTCGAAAATCTGCTAGATTCTCCTTACAGTATATAGAGAAAGAAGATAAACCTGATGGAGAAGAACAGTGGGAGCCTAGATTTGCAGGTCATCAGAGTTTACAGGAGCGAGAAGATTCCTTCGTGGCTGAAGACAAGAAAATTCATTGTGGCTTTGTCAAAGGCCCCAAAGGATCTCCAAGCACTGGATTTGACCTGACAGAAGATGATACTAATTATATCAGTAGATGCCACATCGCTGTGATCTCATGCATCTTTGGCAATTCTGATCGCTTGAGGCCTCCTGCGAACAAAATGGTATGATTCTGTCCATCGCTCAGATTATGTTTATGCTGTTTGGTTGTCTCTTTCCCATGTTTAAGATTTGGAAACTGTGACCAGTGAGTTGTGTATCTTTAGAGTAGCCTACCTCCCATACGTGGAACCTGAGCTTATGTAGTTACTAACAGAGACTTGCAACTTGAGTTATCTTAGAGTTCGAGTGGCATGTGTTGACCTGTGGGTGCAGTTTAACTAACTTGTTTAGACTAGTGGCTGGGAATAAGATAAAAATGAGCAGTTTTGAGCTAGGTACACAAATGGTGTATATTGAATGCTTAGATAGCTGGCATCTGAAAGTTGGGGTTTGTGGGTGTTTTCATCAACCATGGACAGCCATCTGTTTGAATCGCTTTCTCAAAACCTCAGAAGACATATTTGCTCTGTTGTGTTCGTATTTTCCTTTTGATTCTTGGTTATGATATTTTGTTACCTTTGCTAACCTTAGTTCTTTTCTTTTCATTTAGATAAGTCGGTTGTCAAGAAAAAATGTATGCTTCATTGTGTTTGTGGACGAGATTACCATGCAAACACTTTCTGCAGAAGGACATGCCCCAGACAGAGCAGGATTCATTGGTCTCTGGAAGTTGGTTGTCGTGAAGAATCTTCCTTACGCAGATATGCGGAGGGTAGGAAAAATACCAAAAATGTTGCCACACCGACTTTTCCCATCAGCAAGGTGAGTCTCATGTCATAGCGATAACTCATATTTTGATGGCTCTGACTAGCACATATGTTTTCCAGCAGTTGCATGTAGAGTACAGGTCAGTGATTCATGGTTATATATGATTGAAAAAGGTCCCGGAAATAACATCAGTTATAAAGCATGTGTATAATTTTCATTCTGAGCTACAAAGACAAAAGTTAAATGTGAATACATTAACGATTAGATCTTGAAACCGGTCTCTGGAAATATGCTTTGGAATGTGATATGCAATACCCGCTGAAAAACTTCTCAAGTCAGACCAGATCTGTATCAACAGACAGAGAAACTCATCTGCTGTTTATTCTTCCAGGTACTCAATCTGGTTGGACAGCAAGTTACGACTTCAGTTAGACCCACTACTAATTCTGGAGTACTTTCTATGGCGTAAAGGTCACGAGTATGCTATATCCAATCACTATGACCGTCATTGTTTATGGGAAGAGGTTGCACAAAACAAGAAGCTGAACAAGTATAACCATACTGTTATTAATCAACAGTTTCAGTTTTACAAGGCCGATGGGCTGACCAGATTCAACGCTTCGGATCCGTTCAAGCTTCTTCCTAGCAGTAAGGATCTGTTGATTAACTGATATAAACCAGGATTAGTACCTTCCTTGGGGAGTGTTTTCGTTAGTTAGTGTCTGTAACTGGTACTGTGTTTACTCGTAACAAGCACACGGGGTTTTGAAATCTTATCTAGTATTATAACGTTCATGATTAACTGAGGTCTCAGATTTTCGCACAAGCAACTGCATCCTTGGTCACGGCAACTTAATAGTTTTTGCAGCCAGCTGTTATTCCAGCATTTAGGTTATACGCTCTTTGTGGGTTGAATCATCATTGCCACCATGCAATGGTCAATCATTACCTGGTGTTGGTCATGCATAGAACACATTTGTACGGATTGCTTAGTTACAATCCTCTTTTTTTATTTTTATCTTATCTGCAGATGTTCCAGAGGGGTCTTTCATAGTACGAGCTCATACTCCCATGTCGAACCTATTCTCCTGTCTTTGGTTCAATGAAGTGGAACGCTTTACTCCCCGAGACCAGCTGAGCTTTGCCTATACTTACCAGAAACTAAGAAGGATGAATCCTGATAAACCATTTAATCTTCACATGTTCAAGGTAAAGAACTCCTTTTGCAAAAGTCTCCATGGTTATAATTCTGCTTGACCTATCAAAAAGCTGCTTGATGATTATCTAAAACATTGATTCGCCTCCATGTATGTAAGCTGGGTTTAGAATTGTAAAGTCAAAAGTGTGCTCTTGACATGATATGAACTCAAGTCCTATAAACTGGTAAAAGAGCCAAACATTGAATGCAGTAATTTGTCTAGTCGTGGAGCCCGTGGTAATATGTAATGGTTGTAACCAGAGTCGTTGATGTGGGTCATGAAACTATGTAACAATTAAACTGTCAGTAGGAAATGATAATACCAGGTCTAAGATGTGTTGAATCCATGTTGGTTAGTATAAGAGCCATATCCTATGGAACAGAGAGGGTCTCAAAACCGATGCTCTTGTTCATGGAGAAAACACAACCGATGGATTTGTGGAATTATGAATTAGGATCATATTTTAGGTCTGAATAGTTGAAAAGTATCGAGATCCAGATTTCTAAGTTTCCTTATGTTTCGTTTCTATTTTCATCTGGATTTCAGGACTGTGAGAGAAGAAAGATTGCAAAATTATTCCGTCACAGATCAGACGAGAAGCGAAACCTTATACAAGCAGCAACACAATAAACAACTCTATGTTGTACCGAGCTGTATCCGTCGTGTATAGTACTTTGAGGCTCTACTGCTATATCCACAGTGTCACTTGGAGAAAAGCCACGTTTTCTTTGCTCCGATGACTTAGAAACTGCTCTGCAGGAAGATCCAGATGTTGTACATTGGGACCGAGTCTGTTGCTTGTGGCGACAACCAGAGGAGGTATACGAAAACAATGTGAGGTGATTTGTAGATTTAGGCGGCGTTAAGAGTTTAAACTTTGAAAGAAGAAAAAGAAGGGGCTTGATTAGATTCATGAAAGGGTCTTCCATTTTTATTCAATTCATTGCTTTGTTTTTGTCTGTATCCCTATCTTGCAACAGTTTACTCTTAGAAAAGATACTCATCCCCTATTTATTATGCTGATATCTTACTCTCTCATGTCTACTCACAAAAACATTGATTGCAAAAACATTCACATAACATGGAATAATATAATATTAGTATATAAACTGAAACTTAAGCATATGACTTGAAAAAGAAAACGGGTGACCAGTTTGAGCTTAGCATAACACAACATGCTAACTTATTTGTTGAGTTAGAATGTTGTATATATAATTTCACCAGCTATCTCTTTAAACGGCGAAATATCTTCATATAAGAAATGTCATCTCCGTGGTGTCTTTTTATTCATGCATTTGCTATCCGAAAAGAAAAACAGAGTTTGTCAAGTTTTCTCAATTACACGATCGATCTGAGGCACTGAACTCGTACCTCTACTGATATGATCGGATCTGTTAAGTAAATCTTGATCGTCATCGTTCTGGATAGACTCTCTGATCCACTCTTTTAGGAGACATAAAGCTTTTCATCCACAAACCGCGGCAAATTTTAGATGTCAAAAGCCTATTGTTATGATTTAAAAACTCCGATAAAGAAACAGGGATCAAAGTTTCCATATATAAACACAATAAATCGAAGTAGTTGATAGAAATATAAAAATGAAAATATGACATTCCACATTTTGGTGATTATAGCTTAAAATTGAAAACCTTGCGTTTTACGAAATCAATGAATAGCGAAGCTTCATTGGCGCGTCTCTCCAACATGTTGCTCCTTTCAATCCGACGGAAAAAAAGAAAATCACCTGTGACAACCAAGAAACCCACCGTGATCAACCATGACAATATCGGACTCAGCGACCATGGCATCTTCCTCTTCACGGCTATTTCCGTGGCCGTGCAAACTCCATGTAATACAAAGAACCAAGTAACTTCCCAGTTATGTAGAAGTATACCAGCTCGTGAATCAAACCAGAAACGAAGAATGTCGTCAAACACCCCATGAACCTTGCCCAATCAGACCTCATTTGGTGTTGGCATATCGAACGCACGGGAGAGTAGACGCCTGGCCGGAAAATAGCCGGAACCATGGGAATGCTAATCTACAACACAAGTTTATTGGATCCTTGTCAGCTGATGGGACTTTATGGCACCAGCGCCTGGGTCATCCATCAACTGCCAAGTTAGAGCTTTTATCTGGTACACTTTCGATTACTAAGTCTTCTTTATCGAGTCATGATCATTGTCCTATATGTCCATTAGTTAAGAAAAGCGTCTGTCATTTCCATTCAATAATAATATCTCTAAAAATCCTTTTGAATTAGTTCACTTGGATATTTGGGGACCATTTGCAACAGAATCTATAGAAAGCTATAAATACTTTCTTACACTTGTTGATGATTGCACTAGAGTAACCTGGGTTTACATGCTTAAAACTAAAAGTGAAGTTCTGTCTATTTTTGAAACTTTCATTAAACTGGTTGCAACTCAATATAATGCAAAAATCAAATCAATTAGGAGTGATAATGCTAAAGAATTAAAATTTACAGAACTAGTTAGAGAACATGGCATGGTTCACTATTTTTCTTGTGTTTATACTCCACAACAGAATTCTGTTGTAGAGAGAAAGCATCAACATTTACTAAATGTTGCTCGTGCCTTAATGTTTCAATCACATATTCCATTGATTTACTGGAGTGATTGTATTCTTACTGCAGCTTTTCTAATCAATCGTATACCTTCTATTTTACTAGACAATATTACACCATATGAGAAATTAATGCACAAGAAACTTGAGTATGCATATTTGAAAAGTTTTGGTTGTTTATGTTATGCTAGTACCATTATTAAAGATCGTAACCAGTTTACTCCTAGAGCACAATCTTGTGTTTTCTTAGGATATCCCTCTGGACATAAAGGGTACAAGGTCTTACACTTAGATACCAATTCAATTTCTTTTTTTTTTTTTTGGTCAAACAGATTCATTCATTTAAATTACGAAAGGTTTACATCTCCAGCAGGGGAGGAAACAACGAAATTAGCTAAAGTAGCTTTTGCAAGAGAGTCAGCTGCACAATTAGCTGCTCTTGGGATAAAGTTGAAAGAGACTGCAGTGAAGGAGGAAACTAGTGATCTTATGTCATGAAGAAGACCAACTAGTTCGTTTACAACTGCTGAAGAACGTAGGAGATCAACAAGGACTTTGGAGTCCGATCTTACTTGAATCACTGGAAAGTTTCTGGCCAAGGCCTCTCGGAGAGCATCACGCAGCGCCATGGCTTCCCCTGCAAGTGCAGAGCTTACAAAAGAAGAGGCGGAAGAGCCTTTAAAACAGAGAGCACCTTGCAGATCCCTTCCTCACCACCCAAATCCACCCATGAGACTAGTTTCATTCCAAGCAGCATCCACCTCCAAAGAGGGGACCCAGAGCCAAACTCAAGGAATGGGGAGGATTTGAACTACATGTTGAAGCTTTCCGGGGATGCATTGATGTGTTGTGTTTTTATCGGTTTTGAGTCTTTGTTTTAGGTGTCGTTCTGAGTCATTAGTCATGTCTAGTCCATCTTTTGCGTCTTTTTGGTCTTGTCTTGAGTCTTTTACAGGTCATAGGTGTCTGAGCGGGATCTGGAGAATTTCGTGCATTTTTGGACTTGTTCGGGTCAAAACAGGAGAGAGAAGTTGATTTTGCAGACACAGCCAGTTAGACCGACCAATCACAAACTAGACCGATCAGATACCAACTAGACCGATCGGTCCAAAGCTGAAAACGTGGACCAGAGCCGGTTGGACCGATCGGTCCTCCACTAGACCGATCGGTCCAGAGCTTCGACGGCGGGACAGAGAGGGTTGGACCGATCGGTCCACACCTAGACCGATCGGTCCGGAGCTTCGACGGAGAGCAGACTTGGTTGGACCGATCGGTCCTCCTCTGGACCGATCGGTCTGATTTCCTGACGCCCGGTTTTGATTTTCCTTAACCGGATTTATCTTCTATTTTCTGTAATTGGGTATAAAAACCCTGAAAACCTATTTTTTCATTCACGTTCTTTTCGCTGTAACTTTTGAGACTTCTCTTTGGAAGCTTTTTGGGATTCTAGAGATTCATCCTCTTTGACACTTTGGAGAAGATTTCTAAACCCTTATTCTTATTTATCAATTCAATTATGTTTTTCTTTCAATCTATTTGTCTTGTTTCTGTTGCTATGTGTGAGTAGTCCTCTAATTGGGTTTTAGGGTTCCAATTAGGAGATTCAATGGATTAATGGATTGATTGTATTAGGAATTCTCATTCTCTAGGTTCTTTGATTCACATGTTCTTAATGCTAGAATAGGATTGATCACCCTGTTGTAGATTCTAGGTTTTTCTATGCATCAAAAGTGTTCGATAGAATGCCTGAAAGAATGTGGATTGAGCAATGTATTTCTAGCCAACGAAAGTTGACGTTAGGACGCATTGTGAACTTAATGAACTTGTTTGGTAATGCGAATTTGACTAGGAAATTGCATGCGAAAGTTTAGTAATTGAATAGTCAAATTTAGTGATTAATGTCTTGAAAGAGAATTGGTTTAAATGTGTTCATGTTCAAGAATAGTTCTTAATTGTTGAATTCATTGTCTCATGTTTCCATTGTTCATTGATCTCTGAAATACCCTATGGCCCAATGTCTTTAAATCTTGATAGTTAAATCGTTTAATTTATTTGCATTTTTATTTTACAATCTGAAAACCCAAATAAAACAACTCTTCGCTTTAGCTAAGAACGAGTCTCGGAAATCCTTAGAGTATCTTTGGTCCTTGTGGATCGACCCCGTATATACTGCCTTGCGGTTAAGTGTATCGGGTAATTACTCGAGCAATCAAAAGAGACTGCGCCTGTTGCCAACTTAGAGTTTCTTGGATGGCTTTAGAAAGGGTGTCTTCAGCTGCAAACTGGCGGTCTTCGAAGATGGCTTTATTCCTAACTGTCCACAGGTTCCAGAGAATCCAGGGATATAGAGGAGCTGTTGAGAGACCCGTGGGAGGCAGAGGTTTGCAGGCTTTTAGTCCCAATAGAAGCTGTTTCGTAGAGGAGAAACCAATTCAATTTCTATTACTCGTAATGTTGTTTTTCAAGAGCATGTTTTCCCATTTCAAAATACTAAAAAATATCAGCCTGATTTCTTTGCTCATACCATTTTACCAAATCCATTGCCTTATATTCCTGCAATATCTGATCCTTTCAATGATTCATTTCCTATCTCTGATAATATTGCATCATCTATACCTACAGTTGTTCCTGACATACATATTTCGCATGATCATGCATCATTATCAAGTCATAATTCTTAATCTGATCATGCATCATCCTCCACAACTATTAATTCCTCATCCATACCATTGCCTAATAGGGAGACTAGGGAAAATAGGGAAAACACAACTGTGAATTCATGAACTTTACCTATTTCTTTACCTAGTGAAAGACCAAAACGGCAAGCTAAGGCACCTAGTTATCTATCCGATTACCATTGTGCTCTTGCACAAATTTCTCCACCTCTACCACCTAATCATACTACACCTTATCCATTATCTTCTGTTCTTGACTATTCTCTTTTCAAACCCCATTATTGTTCCTATATCTTATCCTATTCTATGGAAACTGAGCCATAGACTTTTAAACAAGCTATAACATCTGAGAAGTGGAAAGGGGCTTTGAATGAGGAACTGCAGGCTATGGAACAGAACCAGACATGGAATATAACGTCTCTACCTCCAGGCAAGAATGTTGTTGGCTGTAAGTGGGTGTTCACCATCAAATATAATTCAGATGGGATAGTAGAACGTTACAAAGCTCGTTTAGTAGCTAAAGGTTTCACTCAATAGGAGGGTGTTGATTATAATGAAACTTTTTCACTTGTTGCAAAACTAACAAGTGTCAAGTTAATGTTGGGCTTAGTAGCT